CATAAACTAAGCACCCTCCTGAGGATTCGTGCAGATCCCAGCATGGAGATTTTTGGGTCTCTGTCAGAGTAGCTCTCTCTGATACTTTCTTGATGTTTTCTACTATCCCCTTGTTATTATTATTATTATTATTATTATTATTATTATTATTATTATTATTTATTATCATTGTTATTCATAAACAAGTAAAAAATAACGCGGAAACGAACGAACGATGTTTCGGTGTCATCTTGACGCCATTTTCAAGTTCGAAATGATTGCTGATAAATTGTCAAAAACATTTGGTTGTTTAGCATATCATATCGATCCTACGCCCCATGTTGTTCGTTCTGTATGTGAACTCTCTGCCAGATGTTGTTAGATCAAGCCAGATTGCCGCTTTTGCCGATGACACAAAGGTTTTCAAAGAAATAACATCAACGCGCGACGCAGAACAACTTCAGGAGGACCTATCTGACCTGGTCACGTGGTCAGATTCTGCTAGCCTAAACTTTAATTACAACCGTTTAAATGCAAAGCCGCATCACTAGGAAACTTAAACCCGTCGTTTTTGTCTATCATATGGCCGGCTCTCAACTTGAAGTTGTCTCTACCGAGAAGGATCTTGGTGTTTACATCACGGATAACCTCACGTGGCATAAGCAAGTCAATGTGCAATGCGCTAAGGCCAGTAGGTTCCTGGGATATGTACGGAGAAACACCAGACTCGTCAAAACCATTACGGGTAGACGCCTGGCATGCCTTACCCTTGTAAGATCCCTCTTAGCTATGTAAGATCCCTCTTGGCTATGCCCGAGCTAACCTGTGTACAGACGTCCCCCCTCCCTCAGAAAAAAATCTTCCGGTTTTTTTCTAAGAGAGGGGGAACGTCTGTACACAGGCTATACCACGCAAGTGTGAAATCCGCAGTCAATAGACCTGTTTCGAAAGGTAGAGCGTGTCCAGAGGCGCGCTACAAAGTATATCCCGGATCTACCATTCATTTGTGACCAAACATAAAGGCATAGGCTAATGAATCTTAACTTATTACCAATCTCCCATTGGCACGAGTTTTTAGACATGATTCTTTTTTCAATGTTGTAACCGGAAGAGTTAGAGTTAGTCCTTGTGTTCTCCTGCAAGTCTTAATTACTCGCACTACCAGCTCTAACAGCAACCGTAATGTCACTCACTTTATTTCAAGGAAATGTAATACTGTTGTATTGAAGAAACTGGGAACGTGAAATGGGGCCGCTATTACAAAATGTTGCTAATCAAGTGTTCGACATTTAGCATGCAAAGGAAGTGAACGTAGCATATTCAGCTAAACTTGAGAATTTCTTATATCACGATATATCTTACTTTAAAAAATGTTATAAAATAAGACATACACTCCTCTTATATTTTTATACTACCTCTCATGAATGTTAGCTAACTCTATTAAAATGAATATAAAATCCCAGAAACTTAAAATAATTTGTAAGAAAACAATATATATCACCTAAAAAAATAAATTATTTATAGTTGCTCTTACTAAATATTTTGAGCAAGTTTTTGGCGCCAGTACTTGACGCCAAAGTGGATTCAAGATAAGAGAAGACAAACGTAAATCGAATACTGGATAGAGCGATTTTGTTTGACCTTGAAAACGGTTTCCGTCTAGTTTTATCAGGAAACAGATCAAAACACGAGATTAATTGCATTTCTGAGGTTGTAGTATACCATGTTTGTTGACCCTCAAGCGATCCCTCCAAACGATCTCAATGAGCCTTGTGGTGGCATATCTTTCACTGGTTTTTACCCGTTTTGAGAACATGGCGAATTTCGCTGGTTAAGTGCACTGCTTTTATTCGAGAGGAATAACCCGTCACTCTAGGAATATCTCATTAATTCCCAATACAAGGGAAATCCACGGTAGCTTCTTGGTGTAGCGGACGATAAGATTATCAAAACATTGAAAATACACTGAAAATTACTCATATCACAAACGCAATGCATGGCTAAACAACAGCACTTGCTGTAGTGTTATACAACAAGAAGAACTAATAGAATGGCATCCTAGTGAAGTTCAGGAAGTTTTTAACACAGGAACCAGAATTCGAGTTACCTCAAAAGATTTCAGTGAAATTTCGATAAAGGGAAAGGAAATTCAGTTCGAGTTAGTGAGGAATTCAACCTAGTAATCCGTGTTCCAGTTAGTTCTTTTAATTTTGGATTAACACTGTAATTAAAAAAAAAATAACGCAGATGATTTCGCCAACTCGGTCAAGATTCTTAACGCATTAAGTATTTTATTAGCCTGAGAAAACAGCGGACACTTCTGGACGCCATCACTGGTTTCTTCACGAAATGAAGTCTGAGAAATGAGCGCAGAAATTCCATACTATTGTTGTTGACAATATTAAATTCGGGGTTTTGTGCATGAGTGCGGGTGCTTTAACCTAAAGCGCTTAAACGCTTCAACAGGGCGATCGCTAAGATTTTAGTAAAGTTCCCAGGCAAGTAGACGGCATTGAATTCCACAGCTAGGAAGTTCTTTTAGTCCTGTTTCCTTTTTGTTTACTGTAAAAGTACCCGTCAGTGATACTCACAGTAGCCGCGGGATATCACCGACTCCCGGTTCTCAGTGACAGCCCTGCTTGAAACAAAACTCTTAAAACATATTAAAGCCCGAGAAAACAGCCGACATTGCGCGACGTGACCCGTGGAGTGGGGGCGAGGTACTCCCCTATACTAATAAGCTATATAGGTATATGCCGCCCCAAAGGGTAGGGTCTTTGCGCCGTTTTGGTCTGAAAACGGGTACAGACTTTGTTCATTTTGGTCTGGAATAGCGTATGGTTTTCAAGGGAACTACGGGAATGTACGAACGTATTTATTGTTTCAATTCCAAATGAGTAAAAAAGAAAGAGAAATAAACGATTTCGACATGGATTTTAAGAAATCTTTTCTGTTGCTGTTCCAATCTAAGTAATGAGGACATATATGGATTGAGGCCAGGTCTGAAAACGGTTGTGAAGAATGAAGTTTTTGGTCTGAAATAGGGTCAGGATTTGGAGAACCGGGCGGTACAACCCCACCAAAAATTACCAGGAGTACCCCCCCCCCCCCCCCTTCCTTGGGACGCCACCACTAGTTTCCCCGCGAGCGCAGAAAATCCGTACTGCATGATGACACGTTACTACCAAGATCTGGGAAGTGCTCCTGGTTAAATTTGTTTGAACCTACCAGAAGCACTACCCAGATCCGTGGTAGTGACGTGTCATGAGAGAGGAGAAGCCGTTACGTCACGTTGCCATGGTAGCAAAATTTCTGGATCTCAACAAGCCGTGGTCCTGCAAATATAGCAGGAAGAAAAAAAAACGATAAAAATGACATGCATGACTCCTATGTATGATTGCACTCTGGATCAAAATGGTAGCCCATACTTTTCTTCCATCGTTCGACAATGCAAATGGCCGTCTCTGTCATGAACAATTGTTGAGGTCCAAGAATTTTGCTACCATGGTAACGAGACCTCACAATTCTATAGTTCACAGCGTCAATCGAGCGCAGTCCTCAGTCCAGTTCGCGCTACGAAAGTGATCAAAGGAGGCTTGGAACCGAACACCATCGCACGAAGCCTGGCGAAAATAGCAGAAAATGCCTTGGCAGAACGTTGAGAAAAAGTCCCAGATTAAAATATGTCAGGGAAAAGTCAGGGAAAAAAGAAAATTTTTCAGAAAAGTCAGGGAATTTTTTAAGAAGTCAGGGAAAATCTTTGATATTGTCAAAGTCAGTTAAAAGTCAGGGAATTCTGTTTTCCGGTTTATTGTTCATAAGTTTTCTTCAAGGCTTTGAAATGCATTTTCTTTCGGAAAAGATGAAAAGCATGCTGCAAAGCAAGCAAAGCGATCAATTTGACACTTTACGCCTGATACATGTAGTAGTTGTGGTCAGTGGTTTTCGTTGAGAATGATTTCTTCCAAATTCCTTCTTCCTTTTTGCGCGCGAAAAGCGGGAAAAGTTTGAAAATGAAGAGAAAAGTGTCGATGGGCAGCAAAAAAAACTAAAGCAAATGTAAACATCGATTGTTTCTCGTTAATAAAAGATCAGTGAAAACTGTTTAAAGGTCAGGGAAAAGTCAGGGAATTTTTAACTTTCTGTTGAGTGGCAGCCCTGTATTAGCTCCAATAGCCTGCTACAAAGACTACCAATAAACGGTAGCAAACCTTGCAACGATTCTAACGTACTTAACCCTTTAAGTCCCAATAGTGACCAACATCAATTTTCTCCTGACAATATCCGTACATTGTCAAGAGATATGGTTATGAGGATTAACAAAATGATTGCCAGAGAGAAAATGCCTTGATCTTTGAACAAATTCTCTCAACTCATTCTTTAACGAAATGTATGGAGACCAGTTTGGAGAATTTGTTTGTGGATATTGGGACTTAAAGGGTTAAACTTCACTGATAAAGGGCCAGGCCCGAAACGTTTGGAGAGTGAACTAATATCAAAAGACGACACTCGCGTTCATTACTTTTTTTTGTATTGAACGTTCCTTTATTTAAAAGAAATCCGAGTATATTCTACAACTAGCAAATGCCTATATTGCTGGTAAAGCACGAACATTAAGTCTCTCCTAACCCTTAAATATTCGAACTGATTGTTCTGCAAGCAGATTTGACGATTAAGCGGTCACAGAAGGGGACAGAAGTAAGGGATTGAATTTCGTTTTTCTCTGTAGGTGACTTTAAAACACCTTCCAATCAGCTTTAAGGATTCTCACACAGAACACCAAGTTTGAATATTATTAATACGATTATTTTTTAGTCTCTATGTTTATGAAGCCAAAACTATGCTCTTATTCAAGGAGGCAGATGAAAAATGACCTGCAACCGTTCCATCCTTGGAGGTACGGCTATCGGCTGCATTTGATCACTGACGGAAGGCCCTCTTCTTTTTGGTACCTGCGAAACAATAATAGAAACATAAGTTGATGAGTTTTTTCTAATTTTGAAAATCAATGAACGCACATTATAGTTACCTTCCTCAGACATGAAATCCGGGATATCTTCGTCCTTCCAGTTTAAGGCTCCGGCTTCATACTTGTTCACGTTTTCGCCTTTAAAACAATAATTTTAGGGGAAAAAAATGTTAAAAACTGTTTCAATTTGTAATCTATCAATATCAAAACTGCTCTTTTGACAGTTTCTAAGTTCTAACCTTTACCAAAAAGTTTGTGCAGAATGGCGTTTCTGGTATCAATCCTTTGCTCATTGTCTGGCAAGGAACGCTGTCGAGAGCAAAAAATGAAAACGTAAATCTACAGCGTAAATGTCATCTCGGAGTTTTAGGCTAGCGTGTAAGTTGCATGTAACTAAAAGAAATTAAGACCATATTAAATTTTTAATACTTTTAGTGCGAGAGTATCTCCGATCCTGCTTAAATTTATTCACCTCTGCCATTGTTCAATAAAAGCTGCGCGCTTTGTGTTTCCTTTTGTTCGTAAGCAACAGTTTGAAAATCGCCAGAAATTCTGTTCGGCTGTTACCGTATGTCAATCCTCTTTGTTTCATTTTAAAAATATTTGGTTATTCACAATCTAGTTTATCCTACCTTTCCAAAAAGGAATGCTTGAGCTGTGAACCCCATGAATGCAACAAAAAACAGCAGCAGCAAAAGTCGAGCCATCGCGCCGGTATGAAAGGAAAGTCACCCCAGAGCAGTTTATGCTGCTGTGATGAGTTACATCACATTTATTTGCTCATAACCCCATCAATATTGTTTTCAATATATTCAGGTACAAATATTACGTTCGTGACTGATGCATTCACTGATCGGAATATCCATCCTGTACATGTCATTATACTATGGTCCAAACTGAGTGACACTCAAAGGAAAGTGTGGGTTGAAATGTCACGTACATTCCACGTGATGTGACTTTAGGAGGAAAGTGTGTGGTGAAATGTGACGTACATTCCACGGGATGTGACTTTAGGGGGAAAGTGTGTGGTGAAATGTCACGTACATTCCACGTGATGTGACTTTAGGGGCCAACAATTTAACTTTTAAGGTAATGGGCAGGGTGATTTCAGAAAAAAAATCAATCATCATAATATTCGTAACCTCCATTTCGGCCTGGAGCAGAGTTTTCAGGCAACCAAATTATACCGCCCCTTTGTTTAGGCGGCCTGTCCTAACATAGTAGATGATAGAGCGGTTTTCACTTGACTGTCGAAAGGGATTGGTTTTGGTTTTGGTTTTGGTTTTACTACGCCCTTTGGTTGGCTAGTGTATTTAGTTTGGTTTTGGTTTTACGACAGTCAAGTGAAAACCGCTCTAAGATCACAAAAGTAATACCGAATATTCGAGTTATTTATTTATTCTGAAACCAAATTCTATCACTTTGGCCTGCGTGCAGAGGTCCCTCTCTTGCTTGGCTTCGCCCCGTAACGTAAACAAACCAACCAGGCGACAGACAAGCCACGCAAACAACTTTGTAAACGCTAAAAGCCATACAAGAGAGAAACCTCTGCTCGCAGGGTAACTACCCTTAAAAATAAATCGAGATTTGCTAAAGTTGTTGATTTAAAAGAGATGGGATGGAGTTGTTGTATTTGAGAACTGGAAACGTGAAATGTGGTCGATATTGTAAAATGTTGCTGATCAAGTGTTCGATGTTTCGCATGCAAAGGACGTGGACATATCGCTTATTCAGCTAAACTTGAGAATTTCATATATCGCGATATCCTACTTTTAAATGAAAAAAAAATAAAATAAGACAGGCACTCCTCTTTTGTTTTTAGGCTAGTTCTTATAAATACTAGCTAACGGTACAGTCGAACCTCCCGTAAGCGACCACCCAAGTGCAAAGACTTAGTGGTCACTTACGGGAGGTGGTCGCTTACAAGAATCGGACCATAAAAGGGTCTCTTCCGAGAAAAGGTCCACACATGTGCACTTTATGGTAGATAATTAAATTGCATGCAATGTCTAAGTTACGCCATGTGTAGTGCTATGTTGTCAGTAGAATAAATTCTCAAGGTGATGTTACACGGGACGCTTCGCAACACAGTAATACAGCATTGTTGCGACATTGTTTCCAATGATTGCAACATTGCTCCAACATTGCCACGCTGTGAAAAATCGTCTCGTGTAACATGACCTTTAGAAGCATAGTGCCATACAGAGAATGTGTCAAGTGGTCGCTTTCAAGGGGTTAAAAACAATGGAAAATCATTAACCGTCAGGCCCAAAAAATATTTTAAAATAAGACGTGCACTTCTCTTATGTTTTTAGACTAGCTCTCATAAATTCTAGCTAATGGTATTAGTATAGGTAATAGCATGATTTGTAGTGATAATTGGCAATAAATGCCACGAGTGATATTTCGAAATTGTTATACGTAATTTCACGAGCCGTTAGGCGAGTGAAATTTGAGACAATTAGAGAGATTAAGATTCACGTTTACGCCAAACTGCAAACGTGAACTTGCACCACGTGACCAAGTTTTCCCCCTATTTTTCGTTTCCCATTTATTGCTTCTACACAAAAATAAGTAGTTTTATGCTAGTTTTGTCCACAAGAATCGTTCTGGACCTTTTTTAACTGCTCAGTTTCTATTCTGAGAAATTCTCCACTGACGTTTGCCGTTTGCGGTATGCGGTAAACGTGAATCTTAATCTCTCTATTTTTGAAATATCACGAGTGGTATTTATGCCAAACATCACGTACAAATCATGCTATTATTTGTATATACTACTACCCGCAAAACCTTTGTAATTCTCACATGTAGGTATTTCAAATTAAGCTGAAATACCCCTCCTCTAAACCAATCAGATTGCAGAAATTTGTCATGTAGTAGTAAAAATATGAATACATGCACAAAATCCGAGAAACTTATTATAATCAGTGTTAGTATACCAAATATCACCTAAAAAAATTGTTATTAGTTGTTATCACTATTTCTGATTCCTTAAGATATTTTACGCGAGTTTTTGGCGCCAGTACTTGATGTCAAAGTGGATTCAAGATAAGACAAATTGACGTAAATCGAATCAACCGGATAGAGCGATTTTGTTTGCCCTTGAAAACAGTTTCCGTCGAGTTTTATCAAAAAACACTTAGATCAAAACACGAGATTAGTTGTATTCCCGAAACTATCTTTGCAATTTTGAACACGGAAGTTGTAGTAAACCATGTTTGTTGACCTCCAAGTGGTCCCTCCAAACGATCTCACTGAGCTTTGTGTTGGCATATCGTTCCCGGGACCCGTTTAGAATATGGCGAATTTCGCTGGTTAAGTGCACTGCTTTTATCCGAGTGGAATAACCCGTCACTCTAGGAATATATCATGCCCAATATAAGGGAAATCCACGGTAGCTTCTTGGAGTAGCCGACGATAAGATTATCAAAACATTAAGAAAACACTGAAAAAATACGGCTCAAACGACAATCGCAATGGCTAAATAACAGCACCAATTAAAATCAAATTGCTGTAGTAGTAGTTTTAGTGTTTACCCCGATTAAACAACAAGAAGAACTAACAGAATGGCACCCGAGTGAAGTTACAAGAACCAGAATTCGAGTTATCGGGGTAAATTTCAGCGAAATTTTGATCAAGGGAAAGGAAACTCTGGTCGAGTTAGCGAGGAATTCGAGTAATCCGAGTTTGAGTAAACCGAGTGAAAATGACTGAAAAGTGGGGTGAAATCTAAGGGAAAGGGGACTTAGTTCGAGTTAGCGGGGAGTTCAAGTTGCCGGGGTTCTACTGTATTTTACATAACACCAGGAGCTACATTTCTTATCCCAGGGGTATTACTGTAAATCCTGGGGATACTCTCGCCAACAAAAATGATTCTCTATCACAGGGCACCTTCAGTTTTCGTCATTTTAGTTCTTTTAATTTTGTATTAACACTGTCAATAAAACTAACGCAGATGATTTCGACAACTCGGTCATTAAGTGTTTTATTAACCTGAGAGAACAGTCGACACTTCTGGACGCCATCACTGGTTTCACGAAGTGAAGTCTGAGAAACGAGCGCAAAAATTCCATACTGGTTACGCCTCACTGCAAAAATCTTAGCCTGCGTGGCAGGCGTTAAGAGGGGAAGGGAAAGGGGGAATTTATGCGCGCGAGATCGCGCGAGGTTCCTTTCCTTTCTCCCTCGCGCGCCCAAATTCCCTCTTCCCCCTCCCCTTTTAACGCCTGCCACGCAGGCTACAAAAATCTGGGTAGTGCTTCTGGTTGGTTGAAACAATTTTTAAACCAACCAGAGGTACTTTCCAGATCTTGGTAGTGACGCGTCATCATGCAGTATGGATTTTCTGCGCTCGTTTCTCAGACGTCATTTCGAGGGAAAACCAGTGGTAGCGTCGCGCAATGTCGGCTGTTTTTCTCAGGTTAATGCTATAACCCTTTAAACCCTGAGATCAAAACTTGAATTCTCATATGTTGCCCCCATTCATTTCCTACAGAGGTAGTGGGGAGAAGTTGATAAAATATCAAGCAAATTCATTTTGTGTGATCATGTTCGTAAATTCTCATGTACACTCTGTTTTACAAAGCATTGATATTACAAGGAGAGATTTGACACTGATCACTCTTACGGCTTAAAGGGCTTAGAGTTTTGTTTCAAGCAGGGCTGTCACTAACGGTCGGGAGTCGGTGATATCCGTCGGCTACTGTGAGTATAACTGCCAGGTACTTTTACAGAAAATAAAAAGAAAGAAAACAGGACCAAAAGAACTTCCAAGCTGTTCAATTCGCTGCCTCCTACTTGCCTGGGAACTTCATTAAAATCTTAGTGATCGCCCTCTTGAAGGGTATTCAGGTGGCTGAACACAGTTGTATTCAATCGTTCATGTTGCCATGGAAACTATGAAAAAATCAAATTTTACCTGTCACTCAAAATCTTTCATCAGTATATTTTTCCCTTGCCAAGTTTCAGCTTGTGAGCTGCAACCTTTCTCTTGCCATGATTTGGCAAATGAAATACACTCACAAACTGCCAAAACTCTGTTCAGCCACCTTAAAGCACCCGCACTCACAAAACCGCGAATTTGATCTTATCAACAAAAATAGAGAGGAGAAGTCGTTACGTCACGTTACCATGGTAGTAAAACTTCTGGATCTCAACAAGGCGTGGTCCTGCAAATATGGCAGGAAAAAAAAAACCAAACAAAAACAAAACAATTTGGCATGCATGACTTCTGTGTATGATTGCACTCAGGAACAAAATGGTAGCCCATACTTTCCTTCCATCGCTTGACAACGCAAATGGCCGTCTCTGTCATGACAGATTGTTGAGATCCAGAAATCTTGCTACCATGGTAACGTGACGTCACAGTTCTCCTCTCTATGGTCCACAGCGTCTATAATCAATTGATGAAAAAATATATAAAAACGAATTTGTCTCAAGTACTCTCTCGCTATTTATATCCTATTTAGTTGTTTTAGCTAGTTCTACACTTTGTAACGTTTGCTTGAGTTCGTGCCGCTATCATGTGATTGTGTACAGTAATCTCGTACACAAAACATGGAAACTCTCTACCTCAGCGGATCTCAGCGTCAGTCTTCACGCTTCCGCTGCGCACTTGAAGCGGTGCAAATCGAGCTCAGTCCTCAGCCCAGTTCACACTGCGAAAGTGATCAAAGGAGGCCTGGAACCGAACGCCATCGTACGAGGCTTCGCGAAAAATGGCAGAAAATGTCCCAGAACGTTGAGAAATAGTCTACATTAAAATATGTCGTTTTTCCCTGCGAGGAACACGGGATATGCAAAATTTCGGATCTCTGAGTTAAACATTCCTTCCGAACATTGGCTAACTGTTAAGACGGTAACTTTTGTTTCGAAAGAATTTACAGTTGGCTGTTCGAAGTCCTCTTTAAATATGTTGGCTTCTTTCCTCTGTACACTCGCTTAAAGTTCTTCAATCGAGCTAACCATTTTAAATCCGTTGAAAGTTACTCTCATCTGCAAAACGACGTCCCCGTTTAAACTATCTCGGCTTCTTGCGTTTGTACACTCGCTTTAATTGTTTTAAGTGAGGTTTGGTTTGAGGAAGTCTACGCTTAAGAGAGTTCTGTTGTTCAACGAGCGGAGCGAGGTGTCCCTGTTCAGCTAACATGGTCAAAAATGTGCGAATGAAAGGATCGTAGTCATGAGTTCGGCGACTGTGATCAATCTGCAAAGAAATGGAATAATTACAATAAATAAATAAATAATTAGATGAAGAAATTTTCATTCGTTAAACCAAAACGAATTGTCACACCCATTCACCATGACAGACTTCATTCGCTTGCGTTTTTTTTTTTTTTTTTTGGCCACACCGCAGATCTTGTGCCAATAATTATTCTACTACTTGAGCACTCATTATTTCCAGTGTCATAACGGGGCGAATCTTTTAAGTACAGTCACGTGAACTATATCAAGGTAGAAAGCATCTAAAAATACATGTGAATATGGTCTATTCGTCTCGAAAACCCGCGTGTTTCGTGTTAACACAGGTGCGCGCCCCACTAGCGTTTTCGAATATTTTCGACCGCCTACAATAGAACGTTTTCACACGACTTCGTGTCCGCTATATAAGTGTAACAAACTAATTAAACGGCGGCCATGTTGGTGTTCCAAACCAATCCTGGAGTTGAAAACTTTTCTTATGCAAAAATTTCCTTTGTTTCAATAATTATGCATAGATGCTGACCATGTCAATGAAAACTCTCTCTAGGCTGTAGAACACGCGCAAATCTGGTAATACGTTCTTGTTCCCAGACTACTCCCGGACGTGTGTACTACTCAGTGAGCATGCATCAACAGCGCCAGGGATAATCTTGACTATTGTCGCCATTAAACATAAGGTGCTCGCCAAAATTCACAAAGAATTAATACATACGTAGTACTTCCTCCGTTTCTCTTTTTCGTCTCTCAAGGAATTTTCATTCGCTTGAATCTGACGCTCTACCTGGTGCAGTTGGGTAACAAGAACCTGAAAGAATAAAAACGGGAGATAAGAAACACAGCTCCATGTTAGCTTTAGCTATAATAATAATAAAAATAACTTTATTTAAGTATCAGAACAATAAGTAATATTTTACAATTTTAAATTATATCGTGTTGTTTGCAAATTAAAAACTAAATATATGACAACAATGCTAACTATTAAAATCCTATTTACAATTAATTCGTTTGAAAAAAAGAAAGGAAAAAAACTATTCATTCAAAACACTATTTACAATTCCTGCCGATTTAAAAAGCACTCAATTAGCTTTAGCTTGTCGGTCAATCATTCATTTTATCATCGTTTTGCGATTTCGTGACAAAACCTGGGTCACAAGCAAAATAAGAGGCAAGGCAAAAGAACGTGAAATAATATGGTCTTAGAGTAATTCACCTTCAATTTTAACGACTGTGTTTCAGTGGTAAAGTAAACAAACAATTAAACAAACTTGTCATGGCTAGCCAGCTGCCCAGCAACCCAGGCGTACATGAGACAATCAATCAAGCAGTCGGTCGGTCAGTCAGTCAGTCAGTCAGTCGGCTGGTCAATCAATCAGACACCCAGTCAACAAGTCCTGGAGTCAGTCAGTCAATGAGTCAGTAGTAATTAATCTCTTCTTCCCCGTCAACCCCTGCGCCCCCTCCGTTTTAAAAGTGTTAATTCAAAAAAATTATCCTGCTTCATGCTATTAGCCGGACCCAGCTTACCTGAGTTTCTGAACAAATCTTGGCCAACTCACTCAATGGAATAGAAAAGCCATAACTTGGGACAGGTTCTTGGTTAGCGTTCTTTCCAGATCTTTTTTCGTCATCTACAACGCCAATCAGATAATATTTTGTTAAAACAAACAAACAAATAAACAAGCAAAATTTAGGGGATAAAGTCCACCGTGCGGTGTTACGGTCTATCCAAACGTCAATATTTCCTCTACCTTTTTGCTTCAGCTGACTCTTTGTGCCAGTATCACCATTATCTGGGTCACTGGACAGCTCCTCTGCGCCTGCTCTACCATCATGACTGCTGACCACTGTCTCGGAGTCAGAGAATGAAAAGGTTTCAGTGTAATCCTGTTGATCTTCTGATGGAGCTGTCTCGGTGGTCTCCTGGAAACATCAACAAAGAAAATACCATTCATAGCAGCTTTTTAGAAGATTTACGGTCATATCGTCCAGTAGTAAATTCAATCTCACGACCTAGTGAACGATAGAGCCTTGTAATATCTTTCTAACATTTGCTTCTGTGGACAAACTCCTGTGGTGTTACCATTCAGATGAAACCTCTTCAGCAGTACTTTCACATGGTACTATTTATTTAGTATGTAGTTCTAACTTTTGAGTCTGTGGACAAAATCCTGTGGTGCTACCATTCAAATGAAACCTCTTCAGCAGTACTTTCACATGGTACTATTTATTTAGTATGAAGTTCTAACTTTTGAGTCTGTGGATAAAATCCTATGGTGTTACCATTCAAATGGCTTAACGGCTTAACTGTCAGACGACCAATAACATCGCTAACCAGAGTATAATACCATCAACTGACGTGATACAACTCACTTTGACTCTGAAGATGACTTCAACAACAACAGTCCTATTCAGGACTACTTTCACCCGGACGATCAAACTCAACCTACTTTTATTATTATCATTATCATTATTTTATTTATTTATTTATTTATTTATTTATTTATTTTTAAAGCATTTTACAAACTGTAATGTCGAAGTGTTGTTAAAGATTGACTTTGGCCTCTTATGTGGTGGTGAAATGGTTAAACGAGTATGCACCCCACGCTCAGTTCTGTACTACAAGAATATGTATAACTTGACTGCTTCCAAAAGATATAAGGAGCCAAAAAAAGGTACACCGAGGCACCTGACAGGAGATTAGTAAGTAGGGACAAATGGGGTCAAACTGACCGAAAGAAATTCATACTCTTACCCCTGTTCCTGATTCTCCAGATTCCGAGTGTAGACTTCCTGTAGGCGACAACGGTGGATTCGCTTCTGTAGGTTCTTTACCTTGTTCCATTTCTTGCGACTCATCAGCTGGTACACTTTTGTTTTCTTCCGCAACAGTTTCGTTTTTTGTCTCCGCAATTTGTTGTGTAGTCACTACGGCTGATAAGTCCCCATGCTCTTTTGGAGTCTCTGCTGTGTTTTCTGGTTTTCCTGGGATGTCACCCACTGACGTTGTCATTGCAATGGACGTTGGCTTAGCGACTGATGTTGTCATCACGCACGGTGTTGCCATGGCAACTGTTGTTGCCATAGCAGTAGCGGGTGTTACCAAAGCAGTACTTGCTGGCGTGACAATGCTGTCTGTCTTTTCCTGTGCTGGGGTGTCTGTTGTGTGGGAGGGGGAGTCTGTTGCAACAGCTGCAGTTTTGTCTTTACAGGTAGCTGGATCAAACTGCGAATATTACAAGACTAGAACTCAGAAAAATCATATCTAAACACTGGTCGTACAGCAAGCATGCCCACGGGCACTTTCCATTCGTTTCTATGGAGGGGAGGAGGGAGGGGGAGGGGGACGTTTGTGCTCCCTCCCACCACCACCACCATACAAACGTCTGTAAATTTTCGCAACTTTGCGGAGCTATATCTTCGCTCGCTTAAGACGCATCACTTTCAAATTTGGCAGTTTCACTAATATCAACTAGGCGCTATTTCCAGTGGTGTCGACGGATTTCGCCTAATTTGTCAATGTGAAAAGTTGAAAAAACCGTGAAAGGGTCTATTTTCCCCAAAAGTTTCCACAAATTTCACAAACAGTTGAATTTCCCGAAATGCGAACAACTCAACCGAATATTCTTGAAATTCCGGGAGCAAAGTTGTCTTGTGTTTACGTCCTCCATAAAACGTGAAATTAAGCAGTTTCACGTGGTAGTCGTGCAACGACGGCAAAGAAATGGACAAAAAAGCGTGATGCACGTGCAAAGTTGTTGTTTTGCTTATCTCAACTATTGCTTTTTTTTTTCGCCGTTCTCGTTGTCGCTACCGTCGACGTTGCACAAGCTCCGTCTTACTAATAGAGAGTTTTAGATCCGAGTTTACCTCCAACCTCTAACCGCGGTTTGCGGTTACCCGTTTGCGGTTCGACGTTCAAACATAATTCGATTTAGATTGGCGGTGGATTAGATTACGGCCGCCATTTTGAATCAGCAGCCATGAATGGCACTTGTTTTCAAGATCCAATAGGATTTATCAAATTTAGCATTTCGCCCGAATTTGTGCCTCTGTTAATGGATAAAGACTTGCTCCACAAGATTTTTGTATCATTACGTGGGATAAAACAAGAATTTTACGCTAAAAGCTTTCAGGTAAATGACATACGTGAAAACCTACCTCCCCACGTTGAAAACGCACGTCGTAAATCTCAAACGTGACGCGAAGGACTTGTCACGTGACCTCCAGCGGTTAGAGGTTCGCGGTAAACTCGAATCTAAAACTCTCTATTATTGCCAACGGGTCCGTCAAGCCATAGTTAATTGAGTGGAATGGTTATGAAACCCGTCAGACTCCTTTGTTATATGTTTTTGTGGACCTGAAAGAGCACAACGTTCAAAAGAATTCCTATTATTTTGATTGTATTGACCAATAAAAACGTTGCATTAATTTATTCCGTAACAATTTGCCAACAGAAAACAAAGGATTGTGCACTTTCACGGTACTTCCAACATAAACTGCAGCACTGTTGTTCTTATCATTGATGTTTGCCGCTTTTCATAACCAGTCTCCTCTAATAACTATGGCCAAGCGAAGACGCGAGGTTGATGAGGTGGCATTATACAACTAATATCGATGCACGCTGTATTGTGAGGTACTAAGTGTAAAGAAATAGGCCATTTCCGAGTTCCCCCGGGCCTCTGTATCAAAACGAAGTTAAGTGCTCAGCCTTTGATATAGAAATGATTTTTCATTCTCATGCAATTAAAACTCATTTTCACAAGAAAATTGTGAAATAGGCCATTTCCGAGTTCCAAAAAATTTCACTTTCAAAACGAGGCTAAGTGCGAAATCTTTGTTGTGAAAATGAGTTTTATTTGCATCATAATTAAAAATCATTCTCATATCAATGGCTTCGCACTTAGCCTCGCTTTGAAAGTGAGATTTTTTGGAACTCGGAAATGGCCTATTGTTGTGCACTTGGCCTCACTTTGAAGGTGAGGGTTTTGGAACTCGGAAGTGGCCTATCAGTGTAAGGTAAGGTAACAAAGAGCTAACACAAGAACCAATCAGAGAGCGTGAGATTTGGTATATGACGCAGTCATCAGGCGTGGTTGTAGTAGATTGTAGTAGAGTTGTTTATCCGTTGGTTTGTCCGACGTTCTGGACATTTTAGGTGAGTAGAAATAAGAGTTTTACATGCCTGTGTGTTTTTTGAACTGTATTCAGTTTAGTAGAGTGTTCTTTGGAGTTTGTATTTAAACAAGCGCGTTAAAAAGTCGAGCGAGCTCAAACGTGAACAAGAGTGTTGTTATCGGCAAGCGTGCCAGTTGCCGAGTCAGACATGTCACACACATCACAAAGTTAACAGCAATTAACCTGAGAACGAACTCATACATAAAAGCGGCTAGCGTAGCACAGTTTAGACGTTTATTCTTTAAATATTTGAACCAGCGCGTTCAAAATCAAACCACGTGTTCATCGGCCCGCGTGCAACATCTGTGACTCAACTCGAGTATTGCTGGTTTGCAGGTGACGACACGGCGGCCATGTTGGTGGTTAAGAACAAAAGCATTTCTCTCCTCTGGGAACTTCGAGAAAAAATACTATTGTATTGACCCCCAACACGGTTGCCTTGTCACGTGGTTGCAAACCAAGAATAAGTATACGAATTCCTTCACACGTGCGACCCAGAATGTACAGATTGTGCAAAGAATTCACATAGGAGAAAATTGATGTTGGACACTCTTGGGATTGATGATGGAAGCAGTTTATTTGCCCGTCCATTAGCACTTAGCGATAGCTACAGCTAGTCATCATCATCATCGTCATTATCATCATCATCATCATCACCACCATCCTGATCAAAATCATCATCATTATTAATCTCTAAAAACGTTTTAAGATCCTTCAGAAACGCCGAGGAAAGTTTGACTGAGTGCCTCATTTGTGAGATGTTGTTAATTAAGGAAATGAGACCATCCTTAAACACTCAAACCGACTCCGTTTCAGCAAAACTTTTTACTTAATCATTTCATTCTTTTGTTCTTCAAATTTAATGTAGAACAGTTTCACACCTTCGATTCTTATATATATCGGTTCATAGCCTCTTTCATTTGCATTTGATAAAGGTGACATGTCGTCATGTTTTATAATAGCGTTGCTTTTTATCCTTAAATGTTTTGCAAAATCTTTCGTTAATATCATTCTCATTATCATTAGTATCTTAAAATTGGACTCCACTCAATCCTATTACCATTGTTAACACCGTTAAAGCAGCAAAAACTCACATTAAATTAGCCTAATAACAATAAAACAAGAACCAGAAACAAAAACCACAACATAACCACTGGATAGACATTAATAAATTTATCCCCTGCAGTTTTTTTACATGGGTATATAACAACATCCAGATGTCAAAAAAAGGTGCTGCAGAAAATATTTTGATGCTAATGTTGTAATAATTGTCTCCACTATTCTATGATGGTAAGACTCAAGACTGAAGAGAAATACCTTTTTTAGTGATTCCACAATGGTTTCTCTGCAAGACAAAACACATTTCCACTTCTAAATGATGATATTAAAATTAACAAAGAAACATACATGCATAAAAAGGCATTTTCACAATACACCTGTACAACAACAACAAAAATTAACTCGATAACTGGTACTAGTAGAATGAAATTTATACAGAGGGGCTCATTACGCCATGATGTCAATAACCCTAACATGTGTATCTAATATCCATTTAGCAAAGGCTAAAGCGAAGCTCCCTTTACCCAGTTTTGACCGCTGTCAATTGAATACAACATGGATGTGCACTATCAAGTTGCATGCCCCCACACAAGCTAGAGCGCGTGACATTTCACATTGGTTGCCCTGTGGTGTGGACAGACAGACAGGCAGAAGTATGTTCATGTGACTACAAACAATATCCCCCATGGATAGATAACCAAAATGAATTTTCTTACATTGTAGCTATAAGGCTCTGTTTGCCCATGTGTAGCTCCGCTATCAAACACACAAAATAACCTACCCAGATGCAATAAATAAATAAATAAATTTTACATGTAATTCACCTTTCTCCATTTAGCTGTTTAAGTTTCTCCTCGCATGTTATCATTCGGTCGGCCACGACAGCCATTAGGTTGTATCTTATATCATGATATGGCTCACTGTTCAAAGCAAGCAAACACTTAACATTAGTTTCAAGAAAATTAATAAACAGCAATGTCACAATTATGTAAACTTTAGGTAAGCATTAGGTCTCAAGTTGAATCTTACTTCCCCTATCCTCTGAAATCCTTAATCCTAGCCTTGAAATTTTTCTGGTTCTATTTTTCTTCTATTTTCCGATGAAAGTAGCTGGGGACCACATTCATTGTAGACGGGGGAAAACCCCAGCCCCCAGCTCTAAATGACAGCCCTTACATCTCTAGCCAAACATTTCTAAATCACCTTCCCTAGGGGGATACCCTCATTATTGTCCATACTGACTCACCCTCCAGTTGCTATCCCCAGTCTGTCGGTTATCACTCGGCGAAATTTTTCTGTCCACTCTTCATGTTCACCCCAAGGACCTAAAATTGATTGTTGAAAGGGAAACTTAGTGAGTACAGTGGTGAGAGCACTAAAATATCCACTATGTGGATGTGCTACATGTAATAATAATAATAATAATAATAATAATATAGCATAATTTCCATAAAAAATGCTTGACTGTGCTTCACAGAAGTTCTAAAGAGTAATAAGTATACAGCTATTTTGAGAAAGGTTGTCGGAAAAAACGTGCAAGCGACAATCCCGAAAGGTAATATGGGATATGATCAGTGCACTGTTCCTGACCCTGTAGTTGTCGAGCCTACTTTTGCTGCTTTTCTTTAGCACGCGCAAACATACGTCCATGGCCTCTCGTGCAACTCTTTCAAATTTCCTTGAAGAACTTGAGTGAACACAAAACTACCCAAAATACCTTTCGGGATGGTCGCGTGTACTTTTCCCGACAACCTTGCTCGAAATAGCTGTATATACGAGTAAAATTAAGAACCTAGTAATGATTGCACTTCATAGACTTCTAAAAATAGAAAAATAGTAAAAATAATTCTAAAAATAAGTATATACAAGTAGAAATTAAGAACCTAGTCATGTAAAATCTTGGAAAAATAAAAATGTTTTCAGTTTCATTTTAAAAGTAGATAGATTCATGGTCATCCGTATGTCATATGGTAGGCTGTTCCACAACTTTGGGGCAATGAACAGAAAAGTGCGATCCCCAAGGGTCTTCGATGACTTCATTGATGGAACGCGGAGTAAGGTTCCATCACGAGAATGTGTACCTCTAAATTGTTATTTATTTCTTAATTTATTCATTACTTAAAAGGACTCTTGTGACATAGACATTTGACCTACCATGATCAATAGGGGAGGGTTTAAGTCCATCTAATTCAAACAGTCTTCCGCTGATTGGTACGTAGCTTACAAAATGAAATGCTTCCATTGCACGGCCAGTGGACACCGCATTGGTTTTCTCAGGTAGAAGCTTAGGTTCGGGCCTGTAGAAAAGAAAAGATAAGAAAGTGAAAAAATATATATATCAATATCAGGTCCACCCTACATCAGGTAGAAGCTTAGGTTCGGGCCTGTAGGAAAGAATTGAAAGATAAGAACATGAAAAATATATATATCAATATCAGGTCCACCCTACATCAGGTAGAAGCTTAGGTTCGGGCCTGTAGGAAAGAATTGAAAGATAAGAAAATGAAAAAAAATACGTTATCAATATCAGGTCCACCCTACATTTGGTACACATAAGTGTACTTTTTACAAGAGCAGTAAAACATTAATAGGAATAAAAATAATAACAATCTTAAGATATAAAAAATTAATATTAAAAATTAACTTTACCTGGCAAATTTGTTATGAGCCATGGCCAATTCTGGTAGATTGCCAATCACATATCCTTTGTTCTGAAGTTTAGAAACCGTTGAACATAAAAGTAGTTAACATGATGTAAAGAAGTGTTTCTTTTTTCAGTAGTACGTAATCAGCATGATCACGAAACAAGCCTTTCTATACATGCACTTGAAAAACTGGTATTACTTTAACTGATCTTTTTTCACATGTACATCTAGGAAACATGTATAAAAACCAAGAAAAATGAGTGATTAAAAAATAAATGAACAATATGAAACAACAACAAAAATATGTGTCTGAAACTTAACAGGAAGTCACTCTCAGGCTTTCACATGTTAGCAGAATAAGAAGATAATCTTTTAATAGTTTTGAAAACTTTGAATTGCAGTTGAGCATTCTTGTCGTTAGAAGTATGTTACATAACCAGAAATGTTTCCCTAAAATTATCAGCACTGGATTCATTCATTTATTCATTTATTTTATTGGTCAATCTGAATGTACAATTTTATTTACTCATTACCCACAAATAGCATATCTGCAGCATGTCTGACACTCCATAACATAATTTGCTGTAACTGGCAATGAGAATGGCAAAATAAAAGAAGCACAAAGTTGAAACAATATGTACCTCAGGATCAAACTTGCTAGAAAACTCCTTTAATCTGCTAAGGGTTTCTCCTAGGTGAATATGTGTACAATTTAACAGAACACTCAGTAATGAGTGAGTGGCACAGGAGTTTGGAATTACCTGTTGGCCAAAAAAATAATATTAATAATAGATAGAATTATCGTTTTAAGGAACAAACTTATTAAGCCTTTCTTTACATTCTCAAGAATTCCTAACACATTAAAGTAACTTTGTTCCACATTATCCACATTCCTACCCCATATTATGATCAATACATCTTTCTACTATTGTAAGTTTTAATTTTCTTTACAATTGTACCTGCTGGGCAAAAAAGATATCTCGTACAATATTCTCATCTTCCACAAACATTTCCTCCAAGGGCTGCATCTTGCGTCTTGATCTTCTTTCCTCGATCCATTTAAAGAGGAAAATAAAACCATACACAGGCCTACATAAAGCAAAGAAAGAGATGTACAGTCAAGTATCTGTAAGTTTTCTGTCACCTACACAACACTGTAATTAAAGATAAAGATGCTATAATTCAGTTATTTATTCTTTTTCCTTCATGAAGAAGATTTTTGAGAGAGTTAAATTATTTAAGAGAGTTCTGCGGCTTATCTGCTGAAGTTAGGAAAAAATCTGTCATAGGATTTCGAAATTATTGACATTTTTTTCTAAAAAATCACCAGCATGCAAAGAAAGTGGTGTCCGATAGCCTGGGGCTAGTGGATTTTGCTATTGGGTAGTGAATTCTGTTCTTAACTTGCCGAATCGGCAAGCGGTTTTTGGGGGCGGATTCAAATTACAAAAGAACTGTAATCAATCTTGCTCATCAATTTTTTTTCAGGCTAGTTGAAATGACTTTCAGGCTAGTACATGCTAGGTACAGCTTGCCAGAATGGCAAGCTATAAAACTGACTTTCTTTGCACCCTGATCTCAAAGTTTCTATACCTACAAGGAAATAAACAACACTTTCTTTAGGTCCCACCATTTTTTATTAATGATACCAAAAAGCATCTAGAAACTATTCCCACTGAAAAACCTGATTAAGAAACATAACCAACATGCAATTAAACAGGTTTAGGTCACCTTTAAACAGCCCTAAACTGCTGAAAACCTTTCAATGGATTAAAACACAAACAGTACAGTATACATGTTGCAGGTCAAACTTGATTTCAGGTTAATTTTCATAGGTTGATTCTCAATTTCCTGTGTCTCCTAGCCCTGATTCATGAATAATTAGGGCTAGGAGGCAAAGGAAATTGAGATTCAACCTATTTTTAAAAAAATTAAACCTCAACATAATTTTGACCTGTAACATACACAATAAAATTAGATGTCGTACCCTCTGAATGGTTTTGAAAGATCATATATTTCCTCAACCTGGGCACCTTTCACACCTAGTAGTAAGTAAAGATTAATACATCATTACAGCAGATTACTTTTGATAGAAGAGACCAAGGTTTAGTCTTTTACCTAATCTAAACTTGAAATCTTTACTGAGGGTGATCACGGTGACCAGTCGTATCGCCTACGACTCCTTTTGCTCACGTCCCGTTCGTCAACGTCTTATGTCGATCCGCTAAGAAGGGAAATGAGCGGTATGCATGTATATGCTTTGTTCTCTCTACTGTGATACAAAGAGGTGCAATACACATGTGTATACCTCGTTCTTTCAGCCACTGATCAGGCAAGAGCAGTTACGGAACTGACCTAACTCGTACGCAAAACGACTTCAAAAGTTTGTGAACAGAATGTTGGCGAAACGACTCGTAGGCGAAATGACCATAAACCTTACTGAGCAAGAAAATCATCGACCATATCACAGCAGGAAACAAAATGCAAATAAATAAACAAACAAAACAAAACAAAAAGGTCTGTATGTATTAAGATGATCATATTTAGTAGAGCAGTCCCCTCTAGATCTACTAACTATGGATAAATATATAACGTAGATGAGGTATCCAGTCAGTGCGTTCCATGGTCAGATCGTTCCAAGTCAGATCGTTCCACTCAACAGTCAGATCGTTCCACAAAAAAATCAGTTCGTTCCACCTTTTTTTTTTACTAAAAAAAGTCATGTAAAATTTTCTAAATGTGTCATTGTGATCTGACTACCGAGTAACGATCGGAACATAGATGAAAGTATTCTCAGAACTATTTACATAACAGTGAGAGCGTGTGTACGTGTGTTGATTTCACTGCACATTGCGGAACAACGTTAGTCCGTTTGTGACTCCAGTGAGTATCTAATCAATATTGAGAGCTCTTTTACGTCATCCAATGTTTGTGTCGAACCAAATTATTTTCTATTTCCTTAGATGCATTTATCGATCCTAGTAAACACTGGAAGTTGAATTCTGATTCACTCTTCTAAGCTTTATAATGTATGACTGTTGACAAGCTACGTACTCACCGAACTCCTCAATTAGAAGGCTGAACAGTCCTACATCAAGAAAAAAGCAACGATTAAGTTATCAAAGGGTGCATATGTCATACGTGGGATTTGTAAGTGGAAAATATAAACGTGTGGATGCGGATAAAAACGGCTAAAACCTGGATCGCTTTCAAGTTCCAACCATCCACTGTTTGCCGCCATATTTGAAACATGATAACTTGATGCCAGCGGCTCATTAGTTTCCAATAGAGCCGGGATATAAGGTACTTGATTGTGTCTAGTAAGATTCACAGGACAACCAGTTAGCGTTACAAACTTTGCGTTATGAACGCATCTCGTTTAGGGCCTGTTTACTCGACCAATATGGGTATAGATGAACCGCTGAGTGTTTTGAAACCCTGGCCCTGTTTTATAGAACAAAAAATCCTAGAATACATACCATGTTTTATAGGGCAACACCCACAATTTTATTACCCAGCCTAGGACAAAGGACAAATGCACGCCGTCTTATTCAAACAAATTTCATTTAGCAAGTCAAATCAGTCATGCAGGCAATACCCTAAAAATATACCCTGTCCAGTGGCACATCCCTTCAGGCCCTGTATAGTCCATATAAGGGAGTACCCAACCCCACCACACCCCACCCCACCCCTCGGGGGTTGGGGGAGGACTCTAAGGAAGTTTGGGAAGAGGTTTGCCGTCAAGGCTCTCAAACCCTAGTCTCCTTCACAGCTGCTCGGGTTGGAGTCACGCAATGCCCTCTGCGTCGTCCCCACGCATTGTTGACGGGGAGCAGTTCGTGACTCCAGCCCAAGGGGCTGTGAAGGAGACTGTTCAAACTCTGACCCTGTTTGAGACCAACAATTTTGCAACCCTGTTAAAGACAAAAAGACCGTTTAAATTTCATGACCATTTGAGCTCCCAGGAAGCCCCCGCATCTAGCTCAAATTATACGCCCACCACTGAATTTGATTTATGACGTTACTGTTAATTTCATTTTTTTTTTTTTTCATATAAGACTGGCAGTAAATGCCAAACATATTTTGATCAGCACTGCTTCAGCTTGTTTTGCAGCTCTTTTTCTCTTCCAGTTTTAAGCCCCCTCAGATATAAGCCCCTCCATTTGTTGGCCCTCTCAAAAACTCTTTTCAGAAAAATGCATCTTAGCCCAGGGCTTAAAGCGGCAGATTACAGCAACCATTTAGGCCAAATTAGGGAGTACCCCCTACCCCTATCCCATTGGAGATGTTTTCAAACTAAGGAAGGCCTCGCTCATTAGCATCCTAACATTTAAGCAAAGTAAGGGGCAGCTTATCAGTTCAAAACAACTGTGGGTGGGGAGGGGGGGAACCTTGGAAGTAATACTTATAAAAGAACAAAAGAGCCTCCTAGGTTCACACTAACCCAACTGGACAGTGAATTAGGTAGCTACCCCAGGACCTAAGGGCACTCACTCAGGTCTGGCCAGGAGAGACAGTGCAAAGAAAGCTTTCAAGAGGATGCCCCTTTGTCTTCATCAATGGCTTGTGTGTGTGGCAGCCTCGTCTCTGGAGTCATGTCTCAGGGTGGCTTGGAAAATGAGACGACCCTGGGGAAAGGGTTGTGTTTGTGGCAAAGTGCTGGTAAAGACTGCCTATTTATGAACCAGGCACAGTGTATACCGAGCACCATTGATTTAACTACACAGAGACTTATAATGCGCAATAATTCCCCCTTGGGGATCTTTCAGTGACTTGTACTGGGATCAACCAATGCAAATACTGTCTACTACTGGATCTTGCCTCTTGGGGTATAAGTGAGCCTTAACTATTTCGAATAAGACAATGGGATATCACAGGCTACCCAAGCTCACTATGATAGCATGTGAAGCAACAGAGATTATGCTTCAATCTTAGCTTCTTACAATAATAATAAACAAACCTGTATCTAAATTTATTTCAGTGTTTATTTACCTCTTAGACAAACCTATAGTGCAACTATTGGTTTAACAAAAATCTCAAATATTCTTTTTGTCAAGGCTGACATTTAAATAATGTTTACTTTGTAAAACTTGGAAAATAACCCATTTAATAATTTTTAAAAATACAGTTTTATATTGCATTAGCTACATAACAGTCATTTCCTGTGATCCATTTTCTTCACTAACTCAGTAATTTGAGCAACTTGCTTTTACGCTACAAGCCCTGTGGTGTTGGCTTAGAATTCAATTGGTTTCTTTAGCCAGTTCAGCAGCTTTTACAATAGGCTGAAGTTGTGGTGATGAAACATCTAAAAAAGGACAATCAAAAATGTGTATAAAAGGAAAGCACATTTTCCTCCCTCGCCACTTATGTCCTGTGTACTTGCAGAAGGAGTATACTGGTACATGGTACAGACTACTAAACCTGTATAGCTGTAATAGGGGGTAGAGAGGTTAAGAGACCACACTTTGGCAGAAAAGGAGCCATCTAAAGCTTGAACACCTGAGAGGGTTCCTTGAATTGTGCACAGATCTAATGAAGAGTACATCTTAACCCCTGCTGAAAACTTAATAAACGACTTCTTCAAACACAGCAGTTTGTCTAATCCTACTCAAGGCTTGTTTAAGAGGTCTCCTTGGAAACACAAAAAACTCTCATTGCTTTAAAATGGGCGCAATTTTTCAGGTTTACTCCCACAATTATGTAGGGTCAGGGCTTCAAGACCCTTTCTTGCAATGGTATGTACACACATTCTACTGATGAGAGTAGTCTTCAAGGGGTACAACTTATAAAAGGATAAACTTACAAGAGTCACAGTCATAGCACCACACACTAAGGTCCATAAAGCTTAAAGCCAACATGTGGCTTGGTTCCTTTGAATTGTGTTCCACCATATGACTTTTCACATAACGACTGCAAAACACCACTGAGCACATAAGGCACAACCAATTTTCCCCAACATTTTCGCATGATCCACAAGGCTTCATCAAGTCAATGTGCAGTGAAGCTGTGTTTGATAATGACTGATGAAAGAAACGAATAAACATAAAAGATAATTATTATAAGGCCTATGATGCATAATGCCTTTTGGCACTGAGAGAAATGGACACAAATTTCTATTGATTCAAAAATAATTAGTTAGCAAGGTAACTTGGTAGACAAATAACATGTACTTCAATTTTCAATTTTGCTCATGGTAACTTCAACTTTACTCTTGGCAAAAGCTGCCATGTCAGTGAATTTACAGAACTTTTGTGCACTAAAACTTGATGCCAGTGGAATTTGTGAATAGCATTTGGGAAAAGTGAAAATTTCCGTGGGCAAAACTGAAATTGCGGCTGCGGGTAAAGGTGAAATTGTTGTGGGTAAAATCAAAATTGCCATCAAGAGCAAGTTGAAATTGCCATGACACTTTAGAGCCATCCCAGTATCATGACATATTGAATGTTGAAACAAGCCATTAAAATTAGGTACTGAGAATATTAGGATTTGTGTAATTGACAAAGACCAGCCGTTATGGTAAAATTCTGACAAGCAACAAGGCCTTGAAACGGCGACATAAGATTAGATGAGATGGCAACAAATGACGTAAAGATGGATTAAATACCGACAAGGACATTACCTATTTCTCAAAATGTGAAACGACCGTCTTTGAATAAACACACCCCCCACTCCCTTCCCCTAAGAGGACCTCCTTCAATACATGTGTAAGGCGTTGTCTCCTCACCAGCCCCACGACGGTAAAAAAGGAATTTAGAGACTCAAAACAGCTGCTAGGCGTCCCACGCAGGCGTTTTTTAGGGGATCTCATATTTTGTCCCTCCCAGTGACAATGGGAAAAGAATGTTGTTTTCGGTTGAGTAGGCGTTTGTGGGGAGGGATGAAAGATGAGCTCCCCTAAAAACACCCGCGTGGGAGGCTAAACAGCTGCTCTCCATCGTTCGTTGTCAGGGTGGGACATTTGGTAAACAAATTAAACAATTTACAACTAGGAACAGATCAGCGCTTATAGATCAAGATTAGAGTTCCAAGACTTTGCTGTGGAGCAAGCAAAATTGAAAACAAACTGCTTTTATTAAGCTTACTTCAACAAGAGCACTTTTCTAGGCCTTCCGAAACTGAAATAAAACTTTACGCTTCAACAGAAAGCTTTTCTTGTCTATAAAAACGTTGTTTAGAAAACAATGGTGTTGTTAAACACTGCATTAAAAATGGAACAAGCAAGATGAAAAATAAAAACTGCATTAGCTGCTGAGAAAACATGCAGGAGTACACGCTTTTAAAAACTCTGTAGTTTGACAAGGATGTTATGTCCTTCATTTTTGTACTTAAAATTAAAGTAGCTTACTTGAACATGTGGGCAATCCGACTTTGGTTCAACAGCCACAAAACCTGTAAAGTCTAAGCCACCTGAAGCCATTGCTTGATGTGATGGGGACTATACAACTATTAACAAACAAATAAAAGACACCAACACCCAAGAAGAAGTTGAAAACTTTGACGTCTTTGAGGGCGCAGGTGAGATTTTGGAATAAATACTAGAATGGTCGGATCCAGTGACACCTGCCGGGAACTGGATCGAGGAGATCATTGGCCAGAAAATCAGCTCATATTATTTTTCTTAGCCTTTTTCGTTTACTCTTTTTAAAAACTTTTGGTTTCCTCCAGGTCACAAAAGACAAATTTTGCAGGCCGGAAAGGAAACAATGCAGGCACCGCCAAGTACTAGACACCTCGTGCCGTGGTACATATAGCAATACCGCTGATTTGGTTACCGCTGATACGCCGCTTGGAGAGCCGCTAGGCCAAGCCTCCCACGGGCAGACCTGTTCACGGGTTCGTCACGCGTCCCTGATGTGGGAGGAGCATTGCGTGACGAGCCAAAAGATCGTCTGCTTGGCCGGCCAATGGGTTGGCGGCTTTTATTTTCTTTTTCCGAATTTCGGATTCAGCGGATTCAAAGATTGTAGATTCATCCATTTTTAGAGTCCCCAGATACTGAAAGCTTTGAGTGTAATAAAGTTCGAACCGTAGATCCCTTAATGCGCTGTTCACAAACACGCGAACTCTAAAGTTCAAAAGCCGCCTTCACAATTGCGTTTTTTGCTGCAGTCAGTCATAATTACAGTCACAAGCAACGAACCTTGAAACACAGAAACACACACCCCTTCTCGTCCCCAGAGCCCGTCGTTTCTTGGCAACGTGGTCTAAATCAAGCCGAGTGGCTCTGGGGACGAGAATGTTTCGAACCCGTGTAAGTAAAGTTCTGTTTCCTGAAAGGCCCGCTAAGATGATGGACGACAGCGAAAAACGCAATTGAACTCCAGAGTTCGCGTGTTTTTGAAAAACACAGTAACTCCGTGCCACGTTTCGACAGCTTGTCAACACAAAGAATCATTGTTGTCGAAAGGTTTTTTTTAATTATGATTATTTAAACGTTTCTAGACTACCAGTAGTTCCCCATTTGTCTTTGTGCACTAGCTATTTCAACCCATAAAGAAAAAAATCAGTGAAGCCTAAGCCATACAATGACAGGACAGCTAAAAAGTTAAATTCAACTATGCAAATTGGTTCTTTCAGGTCACCGCTACTTTGCCGTGAAATCTTGTCCTTTAACTTTGTCATTGATTGCGCTTTTTCGACAACTTCAGTTAAAACTGGTCTTCATTATTTACCGAGCGAAAATATTAGTAACAAACATAGCAAATACAGTAAAGCTAGGCCTACTTTACCCACTTAAAGAAATTACAACGCGCCTGTGGATTTGAACTGTGTCCCTGTGGCTTAGCGCAGCAATAAAACTGTTTGCCCTGATTAGGACCTTTAACCTTCACAGTTCTTAGAACACATGGTTCTTTGTGCCCACTGCAAAGGGGTGCTGGGCGGGGCCCCGTTAGAATAGTCTTCCATAGAGCCACTTCAGCTTTCCGTTTTTGTGAGCAGTCTTTGCTACTAGTACTTTCTGTGCTGCTAGGGAGAACTATTCCCTCAGCTTGCGAATTGCTGTCAACAGAAGTCGAATCATCTTTGCCTGTGTGATGACATGCCGATCTGTCTGACGAATGTATCGCTTGATCAGTAAATTTTTTAGGTTGATCGACATTTACTACACTGTTAGTTCCTAAAGTAGGTGTGCTCTTAGGTAGTTCAGAAGATTTTGACGTGCAAGACGCATGATCATGACTGGCTTCATATTCACTCCTAGGATCGATTGTTTCCGTAGCTTTTTTCTCAGATGAAACATGACTACTTGGTCTAGAAAAAAAGCTGAACAAGTTTGTCTTCGGTTGGCTCACAGCTTTTGTTTTTGTTCCAGCAGTTTTTTGGCGTTTTACTTTGTTTTTCTCGTCACCAAACGAAGCACTACGCTTCAATGACATCACTTCCCGCGATTCGTTATTTCCGGAACTGGGTTGACTTGAAGCTCTAGTCTTTTCTGAGTGCTTAGCAAAGTAGTCTTTAAGTTTCTGTTGCTTTCCAGCAAACTCTGGCATGTATTTGGTACAAAGCGCTGGGGGTTTAGATGCACCTTGGAAACTTGTCTTTAAAGTTGCAACAACAGGACAGTGGTCAGAGCCATCAACATCCGGTCTTATCTCACAATCTTCAAACTCTTTCCTCACAAGTTCCACGTCTGCGAAAATGTAATCTATTCTTGTGCCATAGTTTGTCTGTCGAGCACTAGTAACTGTGCACCAGTTTGTATAGGCGCCGCGCTCCGTGGGGTGGAAGTAACGAAAGGTGTCGATAAACATCTTTTGTTTTACCGGAAGTAAGTCCGAATTTTCCCCAGCTGGTGGTTCAACTGGAGCATCATGTGGCAAAAGGAAGTGATTCAACCACTGCCGCCCTGGGTGAGTGTTAAACGCGTCCTAAAAACAGAACAAAAACAACCAAAAAAAAGTTTACAATTGAAAACCTTTGTAGAAGACTTTTATTGACTGGAGTGGATCGGGGAGTCAATTTTACAACCCTTTGAACCTCGGTGCTTGCTCTGGACTATTTCACCACTGATTAAGCCACTGTTGTGTTGTCCCACGGTACACATACCAAGGTCGTTTAGGCAGGCCTCAATAATGCCATGTGTACGCGGCAAGAATACTAGGCTCTAAAGCTGGCAGAATAAGGAGCTTAGGAGGACTAAATGTTCCCTTTAGCCTGGTAAAAGAACATCTTCCAATGTATCTAAAGATAGTATTTGCTCTTCTTACAAAGTTGCAGTACTCACATGGTGGGGTCGACCACCTACTTCTTGGGTTGAGCAGAATTGGCTTGAAGGATGGATTAACCCAAAACGATCTACACACCTTCATTAATTGGCAGTGTCATTCATGGCATAAAGATAAAAGTTTTTATTTTACCTACATATTTTTCAATAGAAATAAAGACACATTATGATGGTGATTAGATTATATGATGATAATGGCGATGATGATGATGATGATGATGATGATGATGATGATAAATAAACAAGATACCGCCATGTAGTCACAGGTACTATATAATCCCCTTAAAAGGGAAAGTACTTGATTATCTGGGATCAGTACATGTAAATTTAATTCCCTGCAAATAAACTATTGATTCAGTGAGCACCATTTTTTACCTCTTCATCAGGATCACAGTGGTCAATCATTTTGTGTGCTGTGTTTATGTCACCGAGAACTATCACATGCCTACGACAAACACAAACCAACATGACGATTATGAAAGAGCCACACCACCTGGCAAATCTTGTAGTGTAGGGAGTAAACTAATAAATATGGAGCCCCTGGGGGACATGCAATTTGTCAACTTGTCAACTTGTTCCATTTCCTCAAGAGTTTGTCAAACCTGCATTTAGAAGGTTCAGGGTTCTTGAGATTTCGATTGATCGCCGCTTACTTTGGGATTTAAGTTTGTGAGACTTTGTTTTGACACCTCTGGCTTTGCTGAAGAGCCTCCTACTTTATCAGTGATCACCTCCTACTTAAAAATCTATTGAGAACCCTGAGGTATGTGCCAAAAAATCCAACTAATTCCTCTCCCCAGTTGTTCAAAAGCTGAAAAAGGGTAATGCTATCCACTGGATAAAACCCCTATCCAGTGGGTAAGTGTCAGAGAAACTAATTGCAGTATACACTGGATAAAGATCTGTTGAACAGTGAATAGCATTATCCTTTAATAGTATTAAGCAACTACATGTATGGCCTAACCTATTCTTTCACAGGCTCGTGCAAGGTAATTTGGAGGGAGAATTGATTAGTTAAATTATTAAGGGTCAATTTAAGTTTCATTCCAGACACCTCATTAGTTCACCCAGTAACACAGTCCTGAAAAATTAATGCTCTTCCAGGGATGACAAAGCAAAGTAAAAAATATTAGCATTTATAAATAATAATCATTATTATTATTTAACTGATTAATAAATATAACATACCTTCTTTCCTTGACAAGTGCCTCAGCTCTTTCCTGCAGCAATTTGTAAAATCTAAGCTTAAAGTTCACTCTGTCTTTGTTCTCTTTGTCTGCCCTGGGACAATACACGTTAATGATAACGACATTCTTGCCGTCAGGGAAACTATGCTCTGTAAGGACAGCACGACCTTCAGCATCTAAAGCTTCTAACTCTTCAGAGGTGAAGTCAGAGGTGCTACCATAACAGCCTATAGAAGGTTGTGGAGTGAGGGAAGCTGAGAGGCGCTCTTCTGCAGCAACAGGTGTCACTGAATCACGGCAAAATGTGGCCACACCTTTTAACATAATTGAATTAGTTATGTAATATTAATGCATGTGTACAGCAATCCATATAAATATAATCAGTACTGTAAATGATTTAATAGATGCTGGGGTCATTTCTTTATTTTGGAGGTCTAAGGCTAGAGGGGGCGCTTTAAAAAGAAAGGAATTTATTTTCATTTTGGTAACATCCTTGGCATAAACTAATATGCTATTAGCAAATATGTATATCGAGAGAGCTTGTTAAAAGTGGAATATCTTGTCCATCAGTTATCCATATCACTCTTTCAACTCTCAATCAATGCGCAATGCACAAACTTTTCTTTTTCTATTTAACAGCAAGAAACAGTAAAAAAAAATTATTGAGTGATAATAATAATAATAATAACAGAAGAATACCTCTGTTATTTACCCTTGGCAGTATTTATAGCACTATTGCTAGTGGGGCCGAGCCTTTCTCCAGGTCAAATCCTTCCTGGCTGATGACTTTCATAAAAAATGAATATAAACCACTGACAAAATTAGTTGAGACACTTAACGCTCAAGAGCCTTTCTGATGTTTTGAATGTTTTAATTGTGGACTCCAAAAGGCAAAAATGAAGCTTTCCTCACCCACCCCCTCCACTTAATAACTGTTCCACTGTTTGGGAAATTAGTTTAACAACTTTGGATGGAGAAGAAGGGGAGGGGTGTGGATTGTTTGGTTCTTTGAAGTAACCCATTTAAGAAGTGACTGTGTCTTCAAGTAAAAAAAAATCCCGGTCTATAAGTTGCTGGTAATCGAGCAGAGCAACAAAATCAAATATTTTCACTTATGCCTCACCTGAGTAGCCTGTTTTAACTTTGGAGAAGCTAAAATAGGCATTGTATCCATCTACAACAGCAGTTACTTCATCCAGCATTTCACCTGGAAAACACCGACAATAACTTGAGTGACATTTATAAGCATTGCCAAATGGCGCCTATTGATAAGTGTAGGCTGTAAAATCATGAGTCCCGTGACTGTTTGTGGACTCATACAGGATGCCAACGCATGTCGTGTCCTTTGACTCTCTGACTGAAGTGTTAGCTAATTGTTTCTATGAAACAAAGATAATTCAACTTCATCGCGAGAAACTTTCATGCTACTCTCCTTTTTGGAGGAACTGCATTCGCTCAACTTGTAACTTATTTTGACTCTAATGACACATTTCAATAGGCGTCATTCCGTAGTGTCATCAATCCTAAGTTATCGGGTAAGAAGGTAATAGAATAGTCTAGCATCTGGTCAGACTGGTCAGAGAACTCCCAACCCCACCCAATGTCACGTTGAAAAACTGAGCCTAAGCCCAGCAGTCCTCAAACCTGGGAAAGGGGGGCTACTGCCATATATGAGCTATACAGACGTGTGCTGCTGTGAGGGCTATGGTATTTATTAATAAGCAGTTTAGTCTGGTATAAAATTTGGGTCTAGAATAAGGTATATTTTTTCAGGAAGCTGATCAATTGGTTAAAGACGTTAGTTTAGACTTGATAAGCTGGGAACTGACTGGTACAAAAATGAAAACACAAATTCAAATTTACCCTCAACTCAGTTTAACAGCAAAGAAAACATTGATAGATCGAAAATAGTCACTGTAGGACAGGGAGGGGTATTAAGAGTGTAGTCAAGTACAGGTCAGCAAAATTGAACTGAACTAGCTCTGGTATAGGTTCCGGGATCCCAGCGGCACATCCCCACCAGAAAAAAACTCCTAAATTACCACCCACACCCCCCACAACCCCCTCGGGTTTCCAGAGGGTCAGAACAAAACTTTATGAGCCCATACCTGCAGTTAAATGTCAATTTTGCAAGACCCATTTCAAATGTGGACCATTTGAAAGAAAGCTTCACTTTCCCAAAAAAACAAGTAACAACCGAATGATATTAATTAACATAACCCTTCATTAAGGTTATTACTCACGGGTAACTTTCGTTTCTTGCAAACAAATAACATCAGCTTCAAGAGAGTCTAAGACTTCCTTCAACGATTTATCTCTTCGAGCGGCACGAATTCCGTTGATATTCCACGTCAAAATCTTCATTTCTTTCCAATCAAGTGAATAGAAACAATTCTCTTCCCGCGTTCGAAATGGATCAAACGACAATTGTGTCAGCGGTTGCCAGATGTGCGCAATTTTCCCTGTGTTTCAGGGCTCGAGGTGTCTAGTCCCGAGTTTTACCAGCACGAGAGAAAATAAAAGTTTGGAAATTTCAAATAGGAAAGGGGAAGAGAATAAAGAGTTGAAAAAAAACGAAAGACGTTCTGGCCAATCTCGCAGTTCTTTGCTTTTCTGCCTTCTCTGTCAGCTGCACAGAAGTGCTGAGCAAAACACTCGCATGGCAGAGGGGTTTTCCGTGACGCGTGATGGGTTACAAATTATCAGCGTGGTGCGTGATCGGGCACAAATTAGCCGCGTGAGGAGTGATTGGGCATAGCTACCTACTGTTTAGCTGGGTGGTGCCTGATTGGTGAATATCATTTGAAACTAGACGGACAGACGTTAAAAACAGATATTCATGTCATAATTTTCTTTTCTACCTTCTGTTTCTACCCAACTGAAGGACCCTGAAAGCAATTGATTAGAGCTGATTCATTCAAGGGTTGATATATTGCCATGTTAACTAACTGCAATTGCCCCTCATTTCCAAACACAACTGTGTACTGTATTAACTACCCTGGCAACAAAAGCTTCTAGGTACCTTGGGATCATATTTTCACGTTGGTTTGTTTTTTCCAGAGGCATTTTTGTAGTTCTCATTGACATCAACACAGCGCACAGTGTTCACTTAACTAAAGGTTACTGTATCCAGTGAGGTAACTGTAAGCCTGGGGAAAGGGGTGGGATGATATATACTCTTGGGAACTTTTGAAGAGGGTGTGCTGTATGGCTCTCCAAATCCTGACCCTATTTCAGACCAAAACATGAAGTTCATTTTCCACGCCTATTTTTAGACCTGCGCCCTGGTTGTTCAAACGTTGGATAGCGCTATCCATCGGATAAAGGCACTATCCAGCGGATTAGTATTAGGGAAACTAATTGCACTATCCACTGGATAAAGGTTTATCCGGTCCATAGCACTATCCAGCCTTTGAACAACTGCCGCTAAGAAATCATGTCATCATTACTTAGATTAGAACTCCAACAAAAAGATTTCTTAAACCCCATTTCAAATTAGTATAAAACTCTTTCTTTCGTATTCATTTGGAATTGAAACGATAAATACGTTCATGGTTTCCCCGTAGTTCTCTGGAAATCCATACCCGATTCGAGACCAAATTAGGCAGAAAGTGTACACCTGTTTTCAGACCGAAACGGCGCAAAAACTATACCCTTAAGTGGAGAGGGGGAGGGGATCCACATACCTACACACTACCTACGTGTAAATGGATCATGTAAGAGAGTACCCGGGATTGGAAGGCAGTCTATAATCATGTACTTTCCCTTCGACGGGACAATATTATGGGGGTTATCTTTTTCGTTTATCATCATCATCATCATAATCACCGCCATCAACACCATCATGGTCATCATCATCGCTCTCGTATTATTTTTATTTCACATTTTTTAACATTTTTAAGTCACTGCGATAAAATGAAGTGATTTTATATTCTTAGTTACATAGCTATAAGTTTAAACATTCATAATCGTTTGAGTTGAATATTTCCACTGAGGGGTCACTGGCTGCAATCCTAGTGTAGACAGGAGAATTGGAGAATGCATGTTATTAAATTCAATGGTGAAAACTTCAATATTCAGCGCTCATCTTCGTTCGGGACAACAGGAAACTTCTCTTCATCGATCTCTGTTTGATTCCGTTTCATGGTTGCAACGCGACATATCGGATCATCTGGTCCGATAGGATACTTGTTCGACCAGTATAAGTAATACACCCAAACGTTCATCTTGGTGAACTTCGTCAGCTGTAAATAAATAAATACAAAATGATTTGGATGTAGCACTGATCCAAAAAGTTGTTCTTCGTCTATCTGATTCCTGGTTGAATTGGAATTTGAAAGTGTTGGTTTTTGTGGAAGAGAGGAAAATTAATAATAATAATGATGATTTGGAGGTAGCACATCCACAAAGTGGTTCTTCGTCTACCCTATTCCTGATCGAATTGGAATTTGGAAATGTTGTATTTTGAGGAGAGAGAAAACCGGAGTACCCGGAGAAAAACCTCTCGGAGCAAGGGAGAGAACCAACAACAATTGCCCACAGTATGGAAAGAAAAAGACGTCAAAGTCCTCATAAAAACTCTTTTTTTCTTTTTTGTAATGTTACTGTTATGAGCTCGAAATAAATAATTTTTTTTTGTTTTGTTTGTTTTTGTTTATATTGTATTATGTTGCTCACTTTGTTGTTGGTGTTATTATTTTTAAGTAATACTATATTTGACAAATTCTAATTCTAATTTTTTTCTGCATATGATACGTTTAAAATCAGTCTATCCCCAAGGAAATTAGCCTGCAAGAAAGCTCTCCATTTGGGAAATATCGTGAAAAGTAGACGCGCGAGAGGAGACGCGAAAGTGGGGGGCGGGGAGGAGGAGAGCCAGGGAGGAGAGCTCTCTCCTTCCGCTCGCTCGCTCGCGCGTTCTCGCGCGGCTCGTCCAAATAAGAGAGCTTGCTCGCAAGAACTTAGTATCTATTATATCTAGTGTCCGCATATGTGCACCCCTAACGTCTCAGAAGTTTGAATTCCATACCTGCTATATCAATACTGAAGGTCAGACTTTTCGCTGGAGGCAATACATAATTAGGAGTTTTTGATACTGAGAATGGGGTCCACTTATCCACTTTATATTTCGCAGCGACATGATATCTATCATGACCAACTGAGTCAAAATTTATCATGCCAGACGGCACCCTACCTAGCCTCCCCAAGGTAATTTACGAGAGCAAACGTAGGAGGCTGGGAACTTGCCTAGTTACGAGGTAAGCTGGGAACATGGCTGATTCCGTTATCGGAGATAAGTGATTTATATCTGCAAAGTTTTGTAGTCAAAGTTTCGTTTGCTAGAAATCACAGCGACTTTGATTTACAAAAACTCACGTCAAGATCTTTGCAGTTGGTGTCTCTCATTTGAGAGGCACTGCACTCCAGATTCTTGTCCACGGGTATTAACAGCTCGTAATAACCTGGAGGACTTGTGCATTCTTCCTCGCCCATCATCAAGCCTGAATCAACTGCACCATTTAAGGAGTGGCTGCACATCGGTTTCCAGCGATCGTCATTCTTCTCGACACAGAACGCTGAAACAGAGGACAACAGAGAATACGTAGAAAAAGAAATGTAATTTAATTCGTCTTCACAACAGCTTCGACAAAGAATTAATCAACGAGTAAAAGTACTCAGCGCCTTAAAATAACTGAGGCCAATTTGTTGCCTTTGTTATGACAAGGAGAGGAGATATGAATGTTAAAATATGGTACAGTGGAACCCCGTTAATGCGACCACCGTTGGACCATAAAATCCTGGTCGTAGTAACGAGGTGCTCTCATTAACGGGGTCTTCAAAATAATAAAATGACGCAAAGGCTTTTACGTTTGGTTTGAAAGAATATGGCCGTAATAACGAGGTGGTCTTATAAACGGGGTGGTCGTAAGGCGGGGTTCCACTGTACTAAAGATATTCAACTATTCTCGGATACAGACGAAATTCGTGTATGGCCACGTCTCGTATGGAACGGAGTAAAAGAATTGATCCGGCAACACGGTGTTGATTAATCTTGGTGAATTTCAATCAACAATTGAATTAATAAAAAAAAAAAGACAGAGAGAAAGAGGAGAGCTAGCGCATTCGCAACTTAACCCTCGGACGTACACGCAAATTCATACCCCCACTGTGGTGGGAGGGGGGTTGATGGAACCCTTCCACAGAGATTTTGATACGTTGTAGTATTTCAAAACGATTTTGCCTTTAAATTAATGGAAAGCCTTTGATCCTCTCAACAAGATGAGGTATATTTTACGGGTGGTGGCGCTGCTGGAGGCCTGTGACTTCAGCAACAATGGTCGCCATCTTGGATTTGACCAAGAATTAGAAATCAGATTAAAACCGCAATAAACCGTAATTTTCGTGCCTCACGAAATATCACATAAATAAGCCCTTTGCATCATTTCATCCACAAGTTTTACTTTTATTGTTGAAAGAAGTTGAAAAAACGTGCATTTTTACCCAAACATGGCTTGACCACCTGCTACTTATGACGTCATAACCATAGAACTGACCATCACTAAATGTGTCTCAAAATGTACGCGAGGAATAAACGAACAGCTGCTAAAAACGTCAGGTGCTGATGTTTTATCGTCTTGGAAAAAAACTCAAAACGGCCTCAGAGGGGAGGGGGGGTTGGGCAGTGGGCGGGGTGACAACCACCCCTCCCCCTTCTTGTACGTCCGAGGGTTAAGATGGCAAGGTTGCTACAAAAGAACCATATGTACATTATTTCCATTTAATTTTAGCTTACAAGAACTTCTCCCCTCTTGCTTTGCTTTTCGACACTTCCCTTCATTGCTAATGGTAAAGCGATCAAACTTGAAATCTCTGAAATCGGTAACTGGCTGACGGTAAGTCTTCATCTGGTTGTCACCCGCAAGGAAGTGAGATCCGCTAAGATGGCGCACTCTCAGATGAATTTTGTCAGGTATATTTTTATCTTGCTTCTCAGAATCCGGCGAACCATAAAGCTCAATGTACATCTAAAAGATAAAAAAAATTAATAGCTCAACATCACCACTACTGATCATGACATTATCTCTAATACGTTTATAAATTCTTTGGCATGGTCGGTACTGAAAAGTAGCTCGCGGATAACACAGCTTCTCTAAAGTTCTCTTTGATTTTGTTTTAATGATTTTGAGTTAAGAATTCGTTTGTCAGTAGCTGTTCATTTTAATTTTTTTTTTTTTTTTCCGGAATGCAAGTTCCAGTGACAAAGAATCCCGAATCCAGAACCCACGGCGTGGAATCCAGAAACCAAGACTGTATCGTGAATTCCCTTAAATAGGGCAAAAATGTCAGTGAAAATCCAAGATCGTTTGGCACCAATAAGACAAAGATATACCCTTTTATGAGCATGCGCATTTTAAAGGGAGCTCCGGTTTTACAGTGTAGGCATGGCTAAATCTTAATATTTAACTGATAAGATATTTAGGCTTTGAAAACAAATAACATGCAGCAAACAAATTATTTTGTACAAGTCAATCGCCTCTCGCATAACGCATACTTTTACATTTACACAGACGGCACCTCACTAAAACGGATACTTTCTTACCTTTTGTTAGTCTGCTACACAGCGGTTTTTAGTGTTGTCACACAGGGGAGGAGTGTTGACACTAAAAACGGCTGTGTAGCAGATTAACCTTTTATTAGTCACTTTCTAATTGACTCTATACAAGATGGACACCTCTCTGACTATTTTGATCTAAACTTTGTCCACCTTGAAAAGGAGTTAACTTCCCAAACAAAATATCCCCCAAAAAAAAAAAAAAAATCAAAAATTAAAGAGAACTATCACCATGTTTTCCCCATAAGTGATGTACAATTTAGTACCCAGGTTATGCTTACTTTTATGAGTCGCGCGTTGTAACACGTCGGGCAAATTTCATTTTCCTCGATACTGAATCTTGTGAAACCTTGCTGGAGATCTTGGAACATCTTCAAAATTAGAAACAAGATATCATTTTAGTAATACATAAAAAAAGGCAAGACTTTCTTCAGAGATAACATGAAACAACTTCGTGATGGGTTTAATATGGAGCTTAAATTCGCGTGCCTGAGAAGGTATTTGGGTCGATTGGCCTTTATAGCGGAGCTACACGCGCACGCAAAGCGTGCGCGAGCGGAGTCCCATAGCTAAGAAAATTTGGTTATCTGTCCATCCGAGAAATGTTGGTCCGTCCGCACCACAAGGTAACCAATGTAAAATCTCACGCTTTCTACCTAGTGTGGGAGCTTGCAACCTGATATTGCAAAACCATGTTGTAGTCAGTTGACAGCTGTCAAAATAGGGTATCCGCTGGCAAGAATTACATGACCATATGGCGGGCTCAGGTGTCGACTCGCCGAGGCTACTTTTTTTTCCGAAGTTATCAGCTGACAAGTAACTAGTTTTCAACTGTCTGATCACAGACTTAACTCCAAGTGGATTTCTTTGCGATGGTTGTAAGTTTATAGCTTGAAGTAAATTATGAATTTATTAACGGAAACCTCGCTCTTATCCTTGGTTAAATCTATCCATCATCTTTTAGGTCCTTCATTGCGCATGATCGCGAGTTATACACGGAGCTGCACGGTAAATTTATTTAAACTTTAGGCTTCACATTTTTGTTTTGTAAGCAGATTTTAGTTCTTTGTGAATTATTGACTGAGCTTTTTGAAATAAAGTATCATGACAGCAAAACAGAAACTGGTGTTAATGCTTAAACTAAAACTTTACCTGTTTGTTGTACTTCTTAGTAAAATTCCATTTATGGACGCTTGTAGTATATTTCAGTTTAGTGAAACATACTTGAACTTTGTCTATAACTTCAGACAACTTTTGAAGCTCCTTTGTGAGTTCCACAACTCCATTGAGTCGGCCAACGCCCAGTGCACTCTCTGAGGCAATCCTCCGGAAGGAGCCAATCAAATCTTCCAAATTCCACAATGTTTTGAATCCAAGGGCTTTCTGAAGTTCATAAAGCTTTATCATAAATGATCTTTCCAGCTGTTTGTATGTGCTGAGGAGATTATCCGTGAAGGTCTGTCGGAGGTCAGTGCTTAATGTGCCTTCAGAATGGAAATAAGCGTCTTCTCTAATAATATTCTCACAATTACAGAACAAGCTTCTACTATAATAATTGGTAATGACATTATATTTTCCTTATACTATTCAATACCTCACCGACAATTTATATGCAAAATCACTTTTCATTTATCATGATTATAGGCAGTTTAAGGACTGCAGAATCTGGTAAATTAGAGACTTCGCCAGAGTGCGAGACCCTGATTAAAAAGTAATTAACCGACTGATTAGAAATATAAAATATTACTGAATACATGCATTCATGTACAATTTGTTAGCTAATAAATCGATATATTTTTAAAATGACTAAAATTTAGACATTTCCTAAACCTTTCCATTGTGCATTGTCAAAAATATATTAAAATAATATATAAAGAATAATTTAAATACTTAATCAGAGATAAGATATGTAAAGAGAGTTAGACCAAAGACTCTAAAAATCGCAATTTCATATACCTTGCGACTTGCCGGCTTCTATAATTCCTGTTTCAGTCTCTTCGAGCATTGGAATATCAAAGTTGTATGTTCCAATATTGTTATCAAGCTCCATAACTTTTCCTATCATGTCGATGCGGGCTCCTCCAACAATGAAGTATGACTCTATTTCCGCTTTCAGAGCGGCAACGTCCCGAGGCCGGGCAGCCTCTTCCAGTAGACAAACCAAGTCAGACGCCAACTTTTCTTTGCTTATTTCGAGGTTAGCCTAAACGTGAAAAACAAGAACAAACAAACAAAACAAAACTGAAAACAACAATTCTGAGAAGTTTAACAATTTGGGCGGGGGGGGGAGGGTGAGAGGGGTCGGAAAAGAGTTGATTTCTTTCAGAACTCAAAGCGTCTGTTTCCACATAGTGACAATTATTAGGCAGATTTAGCAGAGACAACACGACGGCACTGATGACGGCGCGCGCAGATCTAAACGACATCTTGATCAATGGCAGAGCGGCAAATTGGGCACCGGAAATCGCGTTTAGTCCTTTCCGCGCGCTTTCCGGTCGTCAGCTGACGTTCTCGTTCTGTTGCTAAATCACTTCCAACGGCATTCTAGTCGCTTCACATCATGCGTGGAAACCGTTACAAGTTATGCCTGATGGGCAACTTGCTTATGTTCTCCAGCCTTTGTTTGGCCACATTTTTCTACTCTGAAGTAGCCTGCGAAGCCGGCAGGATTGTTATTTAGCTTGAGCAAAGTTTTGGCAGAAGAACTGCGAAGCCGTTCAAAGAATGTGGAGGAGACGCTTTTTCGGAAGCACTTTTTTCCGTCTTCGGTGCTCGCTTCTCGCGGCAAAGCCACGAGGACGGCCGCTCCACCGCCAATACTCTCGCACGCGCAAAAACGATTCCGCCAGCTGCGCACGCTACTTTGAAATGACCTTTATTTAGTCGCCGTACAGGCGTACTTTCCATTCCGAATTAAAATTCGGAACCAGAGCTGGGACGAGGGGAGGCCGTTCTTTATAGTCTCGGCTTAATGACGGATTAAGTCCTTCGCTAAGGGTGAACAAAACTAAATTTTCTACTAACAACTTCGATATATGATTAAGAGGACAGGTATTGTATATGGAAATCAGTCTTGAGAATTTGTACAGGTAATAGCATGATTTGTGCTGATATTTGGCATAAATACCACGAGTGATATTTGGAAATTGTTATACGTCATTTGAGACGATTTTGAAATATCACGAGTGGTATTTGTGCCAAATATCGCGTACAAATTATGCTATTATTTGTTTATACTACTACCCGCAAAAGGCTTTGTAATTTTCATATGTAGGTATTTCAAATTAAGCTGAAATACCACTGCTCTAAGCCAATCAAATTGCAGAAATTTCTCATGTTGTAGTATAAACATACGAATATCATATTCACATACAAATTCTGATAGGGACTTAAAGGGGTCATCTTTCCTCCTCCTGTTATGACGAGCATCAAAGCTTTCTGAGTATCTAAGATTAATTCTCATGTTGCTTTCATGTTATTGGTTACATACCTTCATAACTTCAGGAATTGCAGAGACCTCCACTTTATCAAAGTCAAAGTCACTAGAATCCTCCAAAGGCTCGTACTCCTCTCCAAATGTCAGCCATTTCTTGAGATTTCCACGAATGGTGTCAAGTGATTCGAGGCAGGGTTTGTTAATTTCGTAATCCATTACAGACACAGCCGAATCAATTATTATAAGTGGATCTTTGCCTGCTATGGGCGCCGCGAACCCAGTAACTCCTTGGACTACCGCCATCAACTGTTCCTTGTCTAATTTCTCTTTGGTTTTCTCATAGCCTTCGGGTAACAGGTTCATGATCCTCACAAGTATTTCCTCCATTCGCTGCTCTTGCGATTTGATGCCCTGCGAGAACAAGAGACAATAATAATATATAAGTTTCGCCAAAGGTAAAAGCGGAGCTCCTGTTTGTACATTGCAATGGTTATTACTTGGACTTTAAAAAAACGGCCTTCCGGAATTTTTCTTTCTACAAAAAAAGAAACGGAATTGGGCTTGAGCCTGCGATTAATTAATAGCTAATACCTAGTCAGCAGAATACTACAAAAAACATATGAACCAAATGAGTGAGACTGCTTGCAGTCCGCCTTTTCTCAGATCCGTCTAGCTCTTATCTAAGCCATTCCGTTCGGCAGACCGGTGCTCTCACGGACTAAGCTAAGCTGGCGGCGGTGATATCAATGCATCGTAAGTACCTTAATATACATCCTTTTCTCACTTTCATCCAGGTCTCTCGCAGCGATAAGTCGGTTTTTCTGTGCTTTTACCTGCTCAGACGAAATTTCTGAAAATTTTGACGCCATCTGACCAAAAAATAAAAATATATTAATTAAACTGATAAAGAATAGGAGAATTAGGAGAATAGATATTAAAACCTGCCACCACTTTTATTTATTTATTTATTTATTTATTTGTTTTTATTTTCACAATTTTTCAAGATACAGTTCCCAGGAGAAAAACGTAACCCCAATTCCAGGATTAACCTTAGAACACTTCCGACATTTCCGAACGAGCGCATGCAGACAATCCTATCCTGCTCAACCGAGAGCAACAGTCCTTTCCCAAGGCTTAGCCAATCATATTGTACCTTCCAAATTCTGGAAGGTTGACCTTGACCGCGGGTCAACCGGTCGATGATTACTCGATCTGTATGAAACACTGGGAAATTGCCGAATTTCACGTTTTGTAAAGGTGGTGAACGCAAAACAACGACTTTCATTTTCTTTTTCTGGACTTGAACGATATGGAATAAGCTCGATAAAGTTTGAAGCAGTGCGAAATTACTTTGAAGTGACGTTTTCGTAGCCGTCGCCGTCGTACTTGCTTGAGCTGCCTAAGTGATGACATATGTCAATACCAAGACCTGTGTAAATGGTGGTGCGGCAAGGGATATTTACTTCAACCAATCAGAAGCACTACCCAGTTATGGGTAATTGCACTTCATCAGTATGGAATTTCTGCGCTCGCTCCTCAGACCTCATTTTGAGCAGAAATCAGGGGTAATGTCGCGAAATGTCGGCTTTATTCTCAGGCAATTCCCGGTTTCAAATGAGGTCACCTTCCTTGGAAGCGCCATTGCTCTTACCTCTCCTCCACGTTCCTTTCTCTTTTCACTTTCTTTTCACTTTTTTGATTTAAACGTAATGCCTTGAAACCTGTAAACTAATCTTACCATAATATAATCAAAAAATATTAATGGAACCTTGCTTTACTTATATTTTGCGGACCCCTCTCTTAAGAGAACACTTGCTAATATCTTTGCACTTCCCCATTTATATCTTAAGTTTACCTGCTGAAAATTTTCATTATTCTGCACGCTTGTCATAATGTCGTTGAATGTTTGTTCATAAACTTCAGCCGCTGATTTTATGGTTTGCACATCCTCGTAAAACGCTTCCCATTTAATGAGAGGAACAAAAAGAGAGTTCTTTCCAAAAATGTCATATCCTTCTACATCTAAAAAGGCAAGTTTTCTTTCGGCGTCTGAAAAAAAAAAAAAAATTTGCCTGTGAATATTTATGTCTTCCCTTTTATGTCTTGTATTTTATGGCCGAGTGGTACTGGGCACGGGAGAGGAGACAATTGTCATTACAGGAATCCCCTCTGGGGTCGTAGGTAGGTCATGTGACTTAACAGTCCATCCAGGTGCCACGACATTTACCTTGATTGATTGCGGTGAAAAGGAATTTTATATTGTAAGTTTGGTGTATGCAAAAGTACAAAGGCTACTTCGATAAAACCGACGCGGCTTTTTTTTTTTAATTTTTATAGCGTTTCAGATGCAGCGTTTATAAAAATCACTTTTCTAAATCGCAGACATAAATTACGATAAATCATTTTCGAATATTATGAAAAACAGAAAGATGTTGAAAGTTCCAGTATCACGCTTTCTTTTCCGGAGAAAAAAATCGCAATTGTCTGGGAGGTGGTGAAGACTATAATCTTATAATTCTCAGGCAAGCACCGCTTTTTCTGGTTTGTCGGGGTATATATTCGAGGGCGGCTTTTATTGTTAAGTTTGAATCCATCTGCGAAATGAATCCTGTGTGGCATTCTAATCTAGCATATACGATACGTACAGGACTAAAGAGCGTTTTTTGGAATTAAAATGCCAAAGCACTAAGTCAAAGAAGCGCTGCCTCACCATTTTCTCTCTCCAGTTGCCTTCTAGAAAAACAAATTACCTTTCCTGATCTGTTCCACATCATTTCTTCCAGTCGTCACATCTTTGATAAACCGCAAGGCATCTATACCCTTCTGATTGTTCCTGTCGCCTAGCAACAGATCCACAGCCTGTCTTCTGACGACGACTAAGAGTTCCGCTGGAATGCTTTTCTTGCTTGCTTCGTCCAGTGTTCCTTTTTCTATAAGTGCCTCGCTGACTGCGCCATCCTCTCCTTTGACGTTTGGCGCTGAATAATAAAAAAATACATGTATCATACCTTAACTTTCTTCGGCATTATAATTACTCGATTTAGTTTTTTTATCTTTTTCCTTTCTCCAGCTCTTCACGTCCTATAACTCCCCCTTCCAAAATGCTTCTCTTCGTCTTTGTCTCCAACAACCCCCGGCTTCCTCATCTTCCTCCTCCTTCCCACCTCCTTCTAATCCTCCCTTCCCCTCGACTCCCTTCTCCTCCTCCTCCTTCCCGAATTCCATCTACTCCTCCTCTTTAAAACATACTTACTCCCTCTACTCCCTATCTTTCTATCCTCCTCCTTCTCTTCCTGACTTCCATCTACTTCTCCTCTTTAAAACATACTTACTCCTCCTACTTTTAATCTTTCTATCCTCCTCCTCCTCTTCTTCTTGAACTCTTCTTCGTTTCTTGTCTAAAACTTACTAACTTAGTTACTCACTTACTTGTCCTACTCCTCATCATTCTTGTCCAACTCCTCCTTCTCACCCTCCCACTTCCTCTTAATTATCATTTTCCTAATCCTCCTCATACGCCTACTCCTACTCCTACTCTTCCTTCTCCCCCATCCTACAGCGCGCCCTTCTCTTCATCCTCTTCCTGATCTTCACCTCCTCCTCATTTTTAAAACTTACTTGATCCTGGAGCTCCATGTTTACCAGCGGATCCATCAGCGGCCTTTGCAGTCTGCTTCCCCTCGCAAAAATCCACATCCCAAAAACCGTTGTTTTTAACGTCAATGAAGCATTCAACTCCTCGCCCCCCTTGTCCACCGTTGCCACCTAGTATCCAACATAACAATTAAGCAATTAAGTAGATGCAAATTTACAACTGACTTAATTCTATTTCTTACAAAGTCATTAAATGTTTTCCATAGTTGATCGCCTGGCATTCGAGCATTTATTTTCAGTGCTATATCATAATAATGATCATTATCGTTATTTTTATTGTTATCGTTATCATACCCGTATTCGTTATTAGAGAGATTGAGATTCACGTTTACGCCAAACGGCAGACGCCAACTTGTACCACGTGACCAAGCTTTCCCCTTATCTTCCATTTGCTCTTTCACTGCTTCCACACAAAAATAAGTAGTTTTCTGCCAGTTTTAACCATAGGAATCGTTCGGGACTGTTTTTATCTGCTTATTTTCTATTCTGAGAAATTCTCAACTTGACTCTGACGTTTGCCGTTTGCAGTAAACGTGAATCTTAATCTCTCTATTGTTACCCTTGTCACTCTCAGGTTCATTTTGTTCTACAAACAAGAAAATTTCTCCTCAAGTTTCGTTCATTCCCAAAACTATAGACTTCTACATGTCAGACCGAAGATTGCATTTAAGTCTCGATGTCTTCAAGTTGTATTTAAGTCTTATTCCTGATCCTTGATATCATTTTTTTGGCTCTGATTTAATCTATTATACCTTTTCCACCTTCTCCATTCTTAGCCGATTGGCCTCCAGTTCCTCCGCAGGTTTTTAATATTGTTTGTCCATTTTGTTTTCGGTAACGCAGTGATATGCGACCAGCCTGGCCTCCATTACCTGTATGTTGAGAAGATCAAACAAGATATGCAAATGGTTAAAGGTGGAATTCTTACCCCTACCATTACACTACCACTCAGTCACTACCATACCACTACCACTACCACTACCACTACCACTACCACTACCACTACCACTACCACTACCACTACCACTACTACTACCACTAACTACTACTACCGCTACTGCTGCTGCTACTACTACTACTACTACTGCAGCTGCTGCTGATACGACGACGTCGACTACTACTACTACTACTACTACAACAACAACAACGTACTATACTATTTCTGTACTATATAAGTTCTTCTAAAAAATAGAATAAATTGCCCCTTTAAAGCAACGAAGTCAATACAACTTCAATTTGTTGCGCTTTCGTAGTGGATTTCAAAGATTATAAGCTTATCGTCTAGAAAAATATAGTGGAAAGCTCACGATTAACGTAAATATTTAGCAATTATTGAATTCGGCTTCCGTATCGATCATCTGAAGAATTATGGAAATCGAGGAGGGTGTTAAACGCCTTCTGAGATCTCCATAATTCTTCAGAAGATACGAAAGCCCAAAATAAGTAATTCCTAGTTTAAAAACAAGCTAAAACATACTACCTCTATCGATGTTAATTTCATCTTCGATAGTGCATGTTCATCGGCAAGTTTAGGCGATAAAGTTTTTTTCAGTACTGTAAATATTTTCCAAAGAGCAGACTGATGCCGTCCGTCGAGTTGTTTTCTTGCTGTTTATGCTGTGTTTTTAGCCAAAAGTTCTCCTATTTCTTCCTTGTGAAACGAATAAAAAGTGTCACCACCAAAACAACTCAACCTCGTCCCCTGGTTTTCTCGGTTAACAGTTTAATAATCTGGCAATTTTGCTGCACAATTGACGTCATCAGTTCAATATCGCAAAATTTTTCCAAATTTGGTCAACAGTAACTGGTTATGATAAATTATGCGTGTGATTTTAGCCAATCAGAAACAGAGAAATACTTTGAATGAATAATAAAAATATAGTGATAAATATAGTTCTCTCTTCTAACTTCTCATAAAAAAGTACAATTTTTTAATTTTTAGTAAATTCACGGCACACCAGACTTTCCCGCGTTTCCACCGTTTCCTCCGTCTTTCCCCGTCTCTCCTACTCTTCCATCCTTTGATTTGCTAGTGCAGCTTCTTTTCCAAGAAGCCCAGTTGTCAGTGAAGAAGTTGTATACTGAATTCGGGCATATATCAGTGTGATAATCAGGTTGCTAAAAGTGAAATCACATAATTAATTCAAAATCGTAGGGAGGAACAGGAACAGGATCCTCTATTAAAATGTGGCATTTACGTTTAGTTAAACTTAAGCATCCATATCCAGATACTTCTATAACAATGAAACAAAAAACGTTAGGAGGCCAGACAAAACTTGAATTCTAACCTTTTAAGCTGATGGTTTCAGTGAGTAAGCATGTCAAATTTGCCTCAAAAACGTTAAATTTCACAATATTGCATTAAGAGAAATTGGGAACAAATGATTTGAAACATATTTAATGGTAGAAAATGGTCAGATGTATATATTTTTTTACGTTAAAAAAATGTTGAAGCACTTGAATCTTTCGCAAGTCACCACCTTGTGAATTCAAGAAAATGACATCAATGCAAGCTGGCTATTCAAACGTTTCGGCTCTCTAAAAATACTAAGTGATGATAAACTTATAGAAGGCCAACCTTAACGAGAGATTTTAGAACAAAGCCTGGAATGTATTGTTACTGCAATTGTTTCTCTTGCTTGTCATATTCGAAGTTAAAGGAGCTATTGCTTTAAGTAACAAACCCGGACCATAACTTTTGGAATTCAACCAACAAGAAGAAACAGCGTGACCTTGCCCCTTTACGAAACTGTGATAAGAAAACTTACAATAACAGAGCTATCCAGGGCATCAGCACCTGGACCTCCATCTTGTCCTTTATGTCCATCTCCTCCTTTAGAGCTCACTTCAAAGGCTCCAGTTATTACATCACAGATTATTTCCACTGCAAAACGTTTAACAAAGAAATAGGAAGAGGGTGTTGAATTCTATAAACACTTCATCGAACACTGCCCAGTTGGGACGTTTGCTGCAAAACGTTCCTAGCGACGAGGGTCGAAGAGAGCCGGCTGTATTCGCGGGCTACACCTAACACAATGTTGGTTTCCTCTTCAAAGGCCTGTCAGAATGTCAAACATCTTGTACCTAACCGTTCTTGAAAGTCGGTAACGTGACTCATTAGGGACATTAAGATTTACTACGGAGAGGTGCTACTATGGCGACATAAGGTCAAAATCACTTTTGATGACGTCACCACCCGAGTTTCAGTGCGGCTTTCCCGCCGGCTGTAGACTTTTTTTCTGGTGGGCCAAAATACCAGTTAATTCTCACAAAGTGAGAAGTACGGCAATCAAAGCACTTTGCCGCACAAGCAAACAAAGCTACGGCCGGCGGGAAAACCACTCGGCAACTTGGGTAGTGACGTCACCGAAAAATATTTTGACGTCATTTCCACGTAGTAGCTCCTCTCTGTAG